TTAATGTGTTGTTGGATTCTGTTTGCTAGTATTTTGTTGAGGATGTTTGCATCTATATTCATCAGTGATATTGGGCTGTAATTTTCTTTTTCTGTAGTATCTATGTCTGGTTTTGGTATCAGGGTGATGGTGGCCTCATAGAATGAGTTTGGGAGTGTTCCTTCTTCTGCAAGTTTTTGGAAGAGTTTGAGAAGGATGGGTGTTAGCTCTTCTCTAAATGTTTGATAGAATTCACCTGTGTAGCTATCTGGTCCTGGACTTCTGTTTGTTGGGGAGACTTTTAATCACAGTTTCAATTTCATTACTTGTGATTGGTCTGTTCATGTTTTCTCTTTCTTCCTGGTTCAGTATTGGAAGGTTATACCTTTCTAAGAATTTGTCCATTTCTTCCAGGTTGTCCATTTTATTGGCATAGAGTTGCTTGTAGTAGTCTCTTAGGATGCTTTGTATTTCTTCACTGTCTGTTTTAACTTCTCCTTTTTCATTTCTAATTCTATTGATTTGAGTCCTCTCCCTCTTTTTCTTGATGAGTCTGGCAAATGGTTTATCAATTTTGTTTATCTTCTCAAGGAACCAGCTTTTACTTTTATTGATCTTTGCTATTGTTTTCTTTGTTTCTATTTCATTTATTTCTGCTCTGATCTTTATGATTTATTTCCTTCTGCTAACTTTGGATTTTGTTTGTTCTTCTTTCTCTACTTCCTTTAGGTATAAGGTTAGATTGTTTTTTTGAGATTTTTCTTGTTTCTTGAGGTAGGCTTGTAGAGCTATAAACTTCCCTCTTACAACTGCTTTTGCTGCATCCCATAGGTTTTGGATTGTCGTGTTTTCATTGTCATTTGTCTCTAGGTATTTTTTGATTTCCTCTTTGATTTCTTCAGTGATCACTTGGTTATTTAGTAACATATTGTTTAACCTCCATGTGTTTGTGTTTTTTTCCCTGTAATTGATTTCTAATCTCATAGTGTTGGGGTGAGAAAAGATGCTTGATATGATTTCAATTTTCTTAAATTTACTGAGGCTTGATTTGTGACACAGGATGTGATCTATCCTGGAGAATGTTCCATGTGCACTTGAGAAGAAAGTGTAATCTGCTGTTTTTGAATGGAATGCCCTATAAATATCAGTTAAATCTATCTGGTCTATTGTGTCATTTAAAGCTTGTGTTTCCTTATTAATTTTCTGTTTGGATGATCTGTCCATTGGTGTAAGTGAGGTGTTAAAGTCCCCCACTATTATTGTGTCACTGTTGATTTCCTCTTTTATAGCTGTTAGCAGTTGCCTTATGTATTGAGGTGCTCCTATGTTGGGTGCATATATATTTATAATTGTTATATCTTCTTCTTGGATTGATCCCTTGATTATTATGTAGTGTCCTTCCTTGTCTCTTGTAACATTCTCTATTTTAAAGTCTAATTTATGTGATATGAGTATTGCTACTCCAGCTTTCTTTTGATTTCCATTTGCATGGAATATCTTTTTCCATCCCCTCATTTTCAGTCTGTATGTGTCCCTAGGTCTGAAGTGGGTCTCTTGTAGACAGCATATATATGGGTCTTGTTTTTGTATCCATTCATCAAGCCTGTGTCTTTTGGTTGGAGCATTTAATCCATTCATGTTTAAGGTAATTATCAATATGTATGTTCCTATTACCATTTTCTTAATCGTTTTGGGTTTGTTTTTGTAGGTCCTTTTCTTCTCTTGTGTTTTGCACTTAGAGAAGTTCCTTTAGCATTTGTTGTAGAGCTGGTTTGGTGGTGCTGAATTCTCTTAGCTTTTGTTTGTCTGTAAAGCTTTTGATTTCTCCATTGAATCTGAATGAGATCCTTGCTGGGTAGAGTAATCTTGGTTGTAAGTTTTCCCCTTTCATCACTTTAAGTATATCATGCCATTCCCTTCTGGCTTGTAGAGTTTCTGCTGATAAATCAGCTGTTGTCCTTATGGGAGTTCCCTTGTATGTTATTTGTCATTTTCCCCTTGCTGCTTTCAATAATTTTTCTTTGTCTTTAACTTTTGATAGTTTGATTACTATGTGTCTCCACATGTTTCTCTTTGGGTTTATCCTGTATGGGACTGTCTGTGCTTCCTGGACTTGGGTGGCTCTTTCCTTTCCCATGTTAGGAATGTTTTTGACTATAATCTCTTCAAATATTTTCTTGGGTCCTTTCTCTCTCTCTTCTCCTTTTGAGACCCCTATAATGCAAATGTTGTTGCGTTTAATGTTGTCCCAGAAGTCTCTTAGGCTGTCTTCATTTCTTTTCATTCTTTTCTCTTTATTTTGTTCTGCAGCAGTGAATTCCACCCTTCTGTCTTCCAGGTCACTTATCCATTCTTCTGCCTCAGTCATTCTGCTATTGATTCCTTCTAGTGTATTTTTCATTTCAATTATTGTATTGTTCATCTCTGTTTGTTTGTTTTTTAATTCTTCTAGGTTTTTGTTAAACACTTCTTGCATCTTCTCCATCTTTGCCTCCATTCTTTTTTGAGGTCCTGGATCATCTTCACTATCATTATTCTGAATTCTTTTTCTAGAAGGTTGCCTATCTCCACTTCATTTAGTTGTTTTTCTGGGGTTTTATCTTGTTCCTTCATCTGGAAATAGCCCTCTGCCTTTTCATCTTGTCTATCTATTTGTTTCATTCTTGTCGGTGGTGAGATGATTGATATTTTTAAGTTCCATGTCATGTAATTTAATTAAACTGACTTCTGAAATTTCCTTCTGAAAGGTTTCACTGGAAGAAAAAAATGCAGCCATTATTTATGACCCTAAACTGCAGACTCCAAAGACCCTACAGGAAGCCATTGATGACATGGGCTTTGATGCTGTTCTGCACAATCCTAAGCCGCTCCCTGTTTTAACTGAGACCTTGTTTCTGACTGTTACTGCTTCACTGGCTCCGCCATGGGAGCATATCCAAAGCACATTGCTCAAGACGAAGGGTGTGACAGACATTAAAATTTCCCCTCAGCAGAGAACTGCAGTGGTGATAATAATCCCTTCTATAGTGAATGCCAGTCAGATAGTAGAGCTGGTTCCAGCTCTCAGTTTAGATCCAGGAACTCTGGAGAAAACGTCAGGAATCTGCGAAGATTTCAGTATGGCTCAAGCAGGCGAAGTCATGCTGAAGATGAAGGTGGAAGGGATGACCTGCCATTCATGTACTAGCACCATTGAAGGAAAAATTGGGAAACTGCAAGGTGTTCAGCGAATTAAAGGTAGTATGCCTGATGTTATTTGTTTGATTGATCTGCGAGGCTTAGTTTTCTGTTTTGGCCTTTTTAACTTTTGCTTTTTTCTTAAGCATGGGTTTTGAATATGTGGGACTAGAATGTTACTGCTTCATTGAAGTCTGAGGTACAGTGTATTCCCAGCATTAATGTTGGTAAAGTTAATGGTTATAAATAAAAGTTATGTGAATCTTGAACTAGCATAAAAGGCAGCCAGCGTGGTGATTCATGAAGTTCAGGGTTCTTAACACAACATGCCTAGGGTCCTCTTGACCTCTAATATGTTTCTATTCAGGCATGCAGAAACTTGGAGACCACAAATGTAGTGGTCACATCTTTTACTTTCTTACTATTCCATATCATTAACATTTTCTGAAAAGAACAGAATTATTTTAAGAAAGGATAATGAGAACAATGAGAGAAACAGTTATATATGGTATTGATTTGGTCGACAGAATGTTTTCTGAAGTGGCCCAGGAATGACTGAAGTAAATAATTATTTTCCTTTTTATTAACTAGTTTCCCTGGACAATCAAGAAGCTACTGTTGTTTATCAGCCTCATCTTATCACAGCAGAGGAAATAAAAAAGCAGATTGAAGCTGTGGGCTTTCCAGCATACATCAAAAAACAGCCCAAGTACCTCAAACTGGGAGCTATTGATATAGAACGTCTAAAGAACACACCAGTCAAATCCTCAGAAGGATCACAGCAAAGGAGTCCATCATATACCAATAATTCAACAGTCATTTTCATCATAGATGGCATGCACTGTAAATCATGTGTGTCAAATATTGAAAGTGCTTTATCTACACTCCAGTATGTAAGCAGTGTAGTCGTTTCTTTAGAGAATAGAACTGCCACAGTAAAGTACAAGGCAAGTTTAGTCACTCCAGAAACTCTGAGAAAAGCAATAGAGGCCATATCACCAGGGCAATATAGAGTTAGTAGTACAAATGAAATTGAGAGTACTTCAAACTCTCCCTCCAGCTCATCTCTTCAAAAGAGTCCTTTGAACATAGTTAGCCAGCCTCTGACTCAAGAAACCGTGATAAACATTGATGGCATGACTTGTAATTCTTGTGTGCAGTCTATTGAGGGTGTCATATTAAAAAAGGCAGGTGTAAAATCCATACGAGTATCACTTGCAAATGGCAAAGGGACTGTTGAGTATGATCCTTTACTAACCTCTCCAGAAACCTTGAGAGAAGCAATAGAAGACATGGGATTTGATGCTTCCTTGTCAGGTAATATCATTTTTTTCTTTGATTCCTTCATTGTTCTTTTATTAACACTTTGCTGGTTCTTTTGGCTTTTATCAATGAGAAATGAGTAATAGGCACTGCTATTCCACTTTTTGGAAATAAGACATATGGAAGTAGTCAGCAGTGTATACAAGGATGCATAAGGATGTTTGCCTAATTATTTATAATATTTAAAAACTAGAAACATTAAATAAAGCATGATACCTTCATATGATGAAATGCTAAGCAGCCATAAAAAATTATGGTATTGAAGATACTTAATGCCACGGGAAAGTGTCTGAGATATTTTGTTAACTGAAAAAAAAGCAAGCAAAAAAGCTGTATGTTCAGTATGATCAAAATTTTATAAACACATGTATAAGGATTTATACCATGTATACGTTATTTATGTATATGAATGAATAAAATTCCTGGTAGGACATGAACTAAATTTTAACAGTAGTTATTTGTGAGTGTAGTTATTTGTGAGTGGTAGGATAAAGGTGATATTTTGTTTTCAATTTGCTTTCTTATGTATTTTAAGTTTGTGTGTGTGTGTGTGACAAGGATGTATGTATGTTTGTTTGTATGTATTTTTGTATATATAATATAGGAGAAGCAAATGTTATTTTAAAAAGAAAAAAGTAGAAATAAATAATAGAATTTTAACTGTAGTTTTGAACTTAGGCATTCAAATGAACCTGACTCTAGAACTGGCCCAAAGTCTTCCTGTTTCCTGGCAGCACTTACTTTGAACTAAAACCAAAGACGTATATCCAATGGAATTTGCCCATGTGAACTTGTTTTAAACTAGAATTGAACCTTGCCTTGAATTAAACTGGAAATTCCCTAAATGAAATTTCTTGCTGTAAATAACAATGGAAAAGTTGAATAACTAATTTCTAGACAATGTCATTAACCTTTGCTCTTCTGGTCAGAATGAAAGATATCAAATAGCAGTGTTCTCTTTTCAAGCTCACTAAAACTGAGAAGCATAAAAAATTAGTCACATGCTCAAATTATTATGGTAGATAAGTGTCAGTGGAAAAGGACCCAGAGATGTAAACATTCTTAATTTTCATGTTCATGACAAATGGTAGAAATTATAGAACTGTCACTTCTTAAAGTCAAGATGTAGTTCACATACCATAAATTCACCCTTTTAAAGTACACAATCCAGTGGTTATTAGTATAGTCATAGGAATTTGCAGCCATTACCATTATGTAATTTTAGAACATTTTTATCAGCCTCTCAAAGAAACCTCATACTGGTTAGCAATCACTCCCCATTTCCCCTTCACCTCCCCCTAGCCCAGCCCCTTTTATCTACTGTTCTGTTTTCTGGCTTTATGAATTTGACAACTCTAAGTACCATATAAGTGGAGTCAGAATATTTGTCCGTTTGTATTTAACGTATTTCACTTAGCATAATGTTTTCAAGATAACAAACGTTCATCCATGTTTGTGATATGTATCAGTACTTCATTCCTTTTTACTGCTGAATAGTATACCATTGTATGCATATACCTCATTTTGTCTCTCCATTCATCAGTTGCTGGAGATTTGGGTTGTTTCCACTCCTTGGCTATCATGAATAATGTTGTGATGAGCATCTGTTACAAGTTTTTGCATGAATATATTTTTTTATTTCTCCTGGGTATATACTAGGAGTGGAATTTCTAGGTCATATGGTGAATATGTTTAACTTTTTCAGTAACTGCCAAGCTGTTTTCCAAAATGGCTGCACCATTTTATATTCTCACTTAGAAGTCTCACTTTGATATAGAAGATCTCAAAAGACCAAGATTCTTGTGCCTTAAAAAAGATACACACACACACATGCGCGAATATGCGTGCACACTGGAATACTACTCAGCCATAAGAAATGAAATAATGTAATTTGCAGCAACATGGATGGACCTAGAGATTATCATACTAAGTGAAGTGAGTCAAAGACAAATATCATATGATATCGTTTTTATGTGGAATCTAAAAAAAATGATTCAAATGAACTTATTTACAAAACAGAAACAGACTCACAGACATAGAAAACAAACTTATGGCTACCAAAGGGGAAATGGGGGGAGAGATAAATTAGGAATTTGGGATTAACAGATACACACTACTGTATATAAAATAGATAAACAACAAGGACCCCTGTATAGCACAGGGAACTATATTCAATATCTTGTAATACCCTATAATGGAAAAGAATCTGAAAAAGATGATATATATATAAAAAAAAATATATATATATATATATATATATATATATATATATCTTCTGGTTGATAACAAATGACTGCATTGTGTGTTTCTACTAGAGATCAGAGTTTAAGATGCCACCAGAATTGTGGCTACCCATTTTCTGAATGCCAGTGTCAGTGCTGATCCAGGCTTCACAGTCTGCCACTCTGACCTGTTCCTAGAGGTACAGGGATCAGTGCATTTCGCCTTCATGTTATACCAGTCCTGGGTGGGCCATAAATGTTAAAGGAGGTAGTGAGAAAAATGGGAGGTGTTTTTTTATCATGACCATCAATCTCATCATTCTCTTAAAAAGACAGTATATGAAGTTGTCTTCACTAACCAATTAAAGCAAACACAATACTCAAATTCCTTTTCCTTTTTTGTAACTTTTTTATCTTTAATTTCAAACTTACAGAAAAGCTACAAGAATAGTACAAAGAATTCCTGTTTACCAATTTTACTCAGATTCCACAGTTGTTAATATTTTGCCACATTTGTTTTATCATTCTCTTTCTCTGTCGACAGACAGAGACATATATTCAAACACATTACCCAGACACGTATATACATACCATTTTATGAATCATTTGAGAGTAAGTTGCAGACATGATGTTTATAATTGTTTTTAAGCCATTTTCTGATTATGTATTTATTCTTCATATTACTTTAGACTGAACCTGCCAGTTTTGAGGATCAGATTGGAAACCCTTTCTTGAAATTTTTGGAATCTTTTCTGATTGTTGCCTCAAGTGCAGGAGAGTCAGCCTTCCTTTTGAATTCATTTAAGCATAAGTAGTGTGGCTACAGCTTATAGAAAAGCTAATTTAAAGAAACTAGCCATTTAATTCATTGTGGCTTTTTAACACCTGTACTGCCTCTGTGGCAGATGGAAGGTTTTGCTCTTCTTGCCACACTCACTGGGGTAAAGGTCACAATTTTATGAATCTTTGTTGAGAAGTCATGCCAATGTAGCTAAAAGGGATCACCTTGGGGCTTCCCTGGTGGCGCAGTGGTTAAGAATCCGCCTGCCAGTGCAGGGGACATGGGTTAAAGCCCTGGTCCGGGAAGATCCCACATGCCGCAGAGCAACTAAGCCCGTGGGCCACAACTATTGAGCCTGCGTTCTAGAGCCCGTGAGCCACAACCACAACAAGAGAAGCCACCGCAATGAGAAGCCCACGCACAGCAACGAAGAGTAGCCCCCGCTCGCCGCAACTAGAGAAAGCCCACGCACAGCAACAAAGACCCAATGCAGCCAAAAAAAAAAAAGGGGGGGTCACCACTACGACTTATTTTAATTTAATACTGTACTTCTAGAGTGTGAAAATTGTAGATGGTATTTAGGTTACTTCTGGTACCTGAAAGAACTAAATTACTCTGGAACAAGACTTAAAGTAATTGGTAGTATAAACTTTTTTTTTCATTGTCGAAGTTCAAATTTAAGTCTTGATAGTAATAATTATGAGAGAATGAATAAGCTCCTGGCTAGATTAAAATAATGTTTTTTTTCAAAGCCAAAGCTATTTCCTTTGGGCAAATGAGCCTCCTTTTTGAATTTTTGGTACTATTTGGTAAATTTTTCCTCTTTGTTCTAAATAATACTCTCGTAATCTTAATGAATATCGTTTTCTGAACTGATCCACTTAAGACCAGAGACTGACTCATTTCAGAATTGGGAGAATCTTGTCCTTTGCTATTCAGAGTGTCCTTTGCTCTACTCAGACTGACAGTACTGCCGTCACCTGGAAGCTTGTTGGAAAAGTAGAGTCTCAGGCCCCACCGTAAATGTACTAAATCAGAACCTGCATTTTAACAAGATCTCCCAGGTGATGGTATGTGTGTTAAAATTTAAGAGCCATTATTATAACTGATTTGAGAAGTCTAGATCATTATTCATTAGGGAAATGCTAAGGCTTTTGTTAAAGTTTCTTCAAAAGATGCCCTTCTTCAGCACCCTAAAAACCAACTCTGCTATGCAAGCTTTCCTCTGTCGGCTAGCCAAACAGACCTGAACCAGTTTTTTGCCCAAGGGGAAGAAATAACAAGTTAGGTTAGTGGAAATTTCCACATCACTTCTTTTCCTCCTTATCTGTGCAGGAGAGTAGAAACTCTAGCTTTTTTGCATGTATTGATACATGGATGTGCAAAAGGGAATACTTTCTCCCTTCTTGGGAGGTGATTAATACTGCAGTGGATAAAGTAAAACAGAATAGCAACTTTCCTGAGACTGCAGGGGAGCTTCTTGGATGACAGAAGCTTTCCACTGTTTTACAGTCCATAAACATTCTATGGAAAGAGTCTCTGAACACTCCTTTGCGAAAAATGAATATTACTGCTGACTTACTCTTTGCCTCTTCTTCCATTGTCCACAAAGGCATTTTAATTTTAAAAATACGATATATTGGTGTTAAAAGTTCAAACATACAGAAGTGTCTGTAGAGGAAATTTGTTCATCTGTCTGTTATTCTGTTCCTGCTTTAACCCCATTCCCCAGAAGGAGCCACCATTAATAGTTTGGTATGTACCCTCCTAGGCTTTCTTTTGCAGGTTCTCATATATACACTCTAACAATTTTTAAATGACATTATACTTCAATGCTGTTTTGCCGACTGCTTTTGGTTCCACTTACTATATCACGAATTGCTTTACTGCTAGTATGTAAATTGTTAACATAATGAGAAAAATTCATGATAAAAATAAGAGCTATCGATTAACAAACCATTGTCTACTCGGGTTTGGGGTAGAGATAACGGCTTGAAGATATTGATGTATAGTTTTGTTTATTCAGTTCAGATTTTCCCGAGAATTGGGACGGGCAGTGTTGAACTTGGAAGTCACTTCCTAGAAAGTGTAGAGATAACATTGCACTGGGCTCTAGGTCCATTACAATTTTAAAGGAGTGGATTGACAGTGCCAGGTGGTGTGGATTGTGATGAGTGACAAGGATGCAGCTGGAGAATACCTCAAATGAAAAGAATCTTTTCCTGTCCACCAGATACAAATGAGCCACTGGTAGTAATAGCTCAGTCCTCATCGGAAATGCCACTTTTGACCTCAACTAATGAATTTCATACCAAAATGATGACACCAATTCATGACAAAGAGGAGGCAAAGACTTCATCTAAGTGTTACATACAGGTCACTGGTATGACTTGTGCTTCCTGTGTAGCAAACATTGAACGGAATTTAAGACGAGAAGAAGGTAAGACACTCTTAAAGCCTGTTATTTTATGTACTAGTTTGAGGACTCTGTCCTTTTTGTCTTCTTATGTGTTTTGTAACCATGTTTATGACTCTTGCCAAGGCCTCATAAAGACTATCAGTGATTTTCAGGACAACCTTGACTTCCTGACAACCAATTTTTGTTAGTGTTTTGTTCCCTTAGATATAGTTCCTGTCTTGTTTACCTCATGGCCACATTTTAATATCAATGAAGTTTGTAGTCAAATAGCAAAAGGAAATACATAAGATTACTATTCTTTATGGACCTTGGCTGCAATGGATGTTAAGAAACATGAATTTTCTGATAAAGTTATGCTTAAAACTAACAACTACAATCCATAAGTTTCAATATTACTATATCCAGGCCAAGCACTGGACCAAAGCCAAGTTTGTTTAGAATTGTTCTCTTCCAACAATTTGATCACTGATCTTTGCTTGCAGTAAAAGTGTTCAAAAGTTACTTAATATTGTGTACAAGTTGTCATTTTAGGTTACAAATTCTTAGAATAGCTATAATATATATATATTTAATTTTTGAATTTTATTTTTTTATACAGCAGGTGCTTATTAGTTATCCATTTTATACATATTAGTGTATATATGTCAATCCCAATCTCTCAATTCATCACACCACCACCCCCTCACCACTTTCCGTCCTTGGTGTCCATACGTTGTTCTCTGCATCTGTGTCTCAACTTCTGCCCTGCAAACTGGTTCATCTGCACCATTTTTCTAGGTTCCACATATATGCATTAATATACGATATTTGTTTTTCTCTTTCTGACTTACTTCACTGTGCTTGACAGCCTCTACATCCATCCACGTCTCTACAAATGACCCGATTTCATTCCTTTTTATGGCTGAGTAATATTCCCTTGTATATATGTACCACATCTTCTTTATCCATTTGTCTGTCGATGGATGGGCATTTAGGTTGCTTCCATGACCTTGCTATTGTAAATAGTGCTGCAATGAACATTGGGGTGCATGTGTCTTTTTGAATTATGGTTTTCTCTGTGTATATGCCCAGTAGTGGGATTGCTGGGTCATATGATAATTCTATTTTTAGTTTTTTAAGGAACCTCCATATTGTTCTCCATAGTGGCTCTATCAATTTACATTCCCACCAACAGTGCAGGAGTGTTCCCTTTTCTCCACAGCCTCTCCAGCATTTATTGTTTGTAGATTTTTTGATGATGGCCATTCTGACTGGTGTGAGGTGTTACCTCATTGTAGTTTTGATTTACATTTCTCTAATGATTAGTGATATTGAACATCCTCTCATGTGTTTGTTGGCCATCTGTATATCTTCTTTGGAGAAATGTCTATTTAGGTCTTCTGCCCATTTTTGGATTGGGTTCTTTGTTTTTCTTGATTTTTTTTTTTTTTTTGCGGTACGCGGACCTCTCACTGCTGTGGCCTCTTCCGTTGTGGAGCACAGGCTCTGAACGTGCAGGCTCAGTGGCCATGGCTCACGGGCCTAGCCACTCCGTGGCATGTGGGATCCTCCCGGACCGGGGCACGAACCTGTGTCCCCTGCATCGGCAGGCGGACTCTCAACCACTGCGCCACCAGGGAAGTCCTGTTTTTCTTGATACTGAGCTGCATGAGCTGCTTGTATATTTCGGAGATTAATCCTTTGTCACTTGCTTTGTTTGCAAATATTTTCTCCCATTCTGAGGGTTGTCTTTGTGTCTTGTTTGTAGTTTCCTTTGATTTGCAAAAGCTTTTAACTATCATTCGGTCCCATTTGTTTATTTTTGTTTTTATTTCCATTACTCTAAGAGGTGGATCAAAGAAGATCTTGCTGCGATTTATGTCAAAGAGTGTTCTTCCTGTGTTTTCCTCTAAGAGTTTTATAGTGTCCGGTCTTACATTTAGGTCTTTAATCCATTTTGAGTTTATTTTTGTGTATGGTGTTAGGGAGTGTTCTAGTTTCATTCTTTTACATGTAGCTGTCCAGTTTTCCCAGCACCAATTATTGAAGACACTGTCTTTTCTCCACTGTATATCCTTGTCTCTTTTGTCATAGATTAGTTAACCATAGGTGTGTGGGTTTATCTCTGGGCTTTCTATCCTGTTCCATTGATCTATATTTCTGTTTTTGTGCCAGCACCATATTGTCTTGATTACTGTCCCTTTATAGTATAGTCTGAAGTCAAGGAGCCTGATTCCTCCAGCTCCGTTTTTTTCCCACAAGACTACTTTGGCTATAAGGGGTCTTTTGTGTCTCCATACAAATTTTAAGATTTTTTGTTCTAGTTCTGTAAAAAAATGCTATTGGTAATTTGATAGGGATTGCATTGAATCTGTAGATTGCTTTGGGTAGTATAGTCATTTTCACAATATTGATTCTTCCAATCCAAGAACATGGTGTATCTGTCCATCTGTTTGTATCATCTTTAATTTCTTTCATCACTGTCTTATAGTTTTCTGCATACAGGTCTTTTGTTTCCCTAGGTAGGTTTATTCCTAGGTATTCTATTCTTTTTCTTGCAGTGGTAAATGGGAGTGTTTGCTCAATTTATCTTTCTGATCTTTTGTTGTTAGTGTATAGGAATGCAAGAGATTTCTGTCCATTAATTTTGTATCCTGCTACTTTACCAAATTCATTGTTTAGCTCTAGTAGTTTTCTGGTAGCATCTTTAGGATTCTCTATGTAGAGTATCATGTCATTGGCAAACAGTGACAGTTTTACTTCTTCTTTTCCAATTTATATTCCTTTTATTTCTTTTTCTTCTCTGATTGCCGTGGCTAGGAGTTCCAAAACTGTGTTGAATAATAGTGGCAAGAGCGGTCATCCTTGTCTTGTTCCTGATCTTAGAGGAAATGGTTTCAGTTTTTCACCATTGAGAATGATGTTTGCTGTGGGTTTGTCATATATGGCCTTTATTATGTTGAGGTAGGTTCCCTCTCTGCCCACTTTCTGGAGAGTTTTTATCCTAAATAGGTGTTGAATTTTGTCAAAAGCTTTTTCTGCATCCATTGAGATGATCCTATGGTTTTTATTTTTCACTTTGTTAATATGGTGTATCACATTGATTGATTTGCATATATTGAAGAATCCTTGCATCCCTGAGATAAATCCCACTCAATCATGGTGTGTGATCCTTTTAATGTGCTGTTGGATTCTGTTTGCTAGTATTTTGTTGAGGATGTTTGCATGTATATTCATGAGTGATACTGGTGTGTAATTTTCTTTTTTTGTAGCATCTTTGTCTGATTTTGGTATCAGGGTGATGGTGGCCTCATAGAATGAGTTTGGGAATGTTCCTTCCCCTGTACGTTTTTGGAAGAGTTTGAGAAGGATGGGTGTTAGCTCTTCTCTAAATTTTTGATAAATTCATCTGTGTAGCCATCTGGTCCTGAACTTTTGTTTTTTGGAAGATTTTTAATAACAGTTTCAATTTCATTACTTGTGATTGGTCTGTTCGTATTTTCTCTTTCTTCCTGGTTCAGTCTTGGAAGGTTATACCTTTCTAAAAATTTGTCCATTTCTTCCAGGTCGTCCATTTTGATTGGCACAGAGTTGCTCGTAGTAGTCTCTCAGGGTGCTTTGTATGTCTGTGGTGTCTGTTGTAACTTTTCGTTTTTCATTTCTAATTTTATTGATTTGAGTCCTCTCCCTCTTTTTCTTGATGAGTCTGGCTAATGGTTTATCAGTTTTGTTTATCTTTTCAGAGAGCCAGCTTTTAGTTTTATTGATCTTTGCTATTATTTTCTTTGTTTCTGTTTCATTTATTTCTGCTCTGATCTTTATGATTCCTTTCCTTCTGCTAACTTTGGATTTTGTTTGTTCTTCTTTCCCTAGTTCCTTTAGGTGTAAGGTTAGATTGTTTATTTGAGATTTTTCTTGTTTCTTGAGGTAGGCTTGTATAGCTGTAAACTTCCCTTGTAGAACTGCTTTTGCTGCATCCCATAGGTTTTGGGTCGTCGTGTTTTCATTGTCATTTGTCTCTAGGTATTTTTTGGTTTCCTCTTTGATTTCTTCAGTGATCTCTTAGTTAGTAACATATTGTTTACCCTCCATGTGTTTGTATTTTTTATGTTTTTTTCCCTCTAATTCATTTCTAATCTCATAGGGTGGTGGTCAGAAAAGATGCTTGATATGATTTCAGTTTTCTTAAATTTACTGAGGCTTGATTTGTGATCCGAGATGTGATCAATCCTGGAGTATGTTCCATGTGCACTTGAGAAGAAAGTGTAATCTGCTGTTTTTGGATGCAGTGTCCTATAAATATCAATTAAATATATCTGGTCTATTGTGTCATTTAAAGTTTCTGTTTCCTTATTAATTTTCTGTTTGGATGATCTGTCCATTGGTGTAAGTGAGGTGTTAAATTCCCCCACTATTAGTATGTTACTGTCAATTTCCTCTTTTTTGGCTGTTAGCAGTTGCCTTATGTATTGAGGTGTTCTATGTTGGGCGCATATATATTTATAACTGTTGTCTTCTCCTTGGTTTGATTTCTTGATCATTATGTAGTGTCCTTCCTTGTCTCTTGTAACATTTCTTTACTTTAAAGTCTATTTTATGTGATATGAGTATTGCTACTCCAGCTTTCTTTTGATTTCCATTTGCATGGAATATCTTTTTCCATCCCCTCACTTTCAGTCTGTATGTGTCCCTAGGTCTTAAGTGGGTCTCTTGTAGACAGCATATGTATGGGTCTTGTTTTTGTATCCATTCAATGAGCCTGTGTCTTTTGGTTGGAGCATTTAATCCATTCACGTTTAAGGTAATTATCAATATGTATGTTCCTTTTACCATTTTCTTAATCGTTTTGGGTTTGTTTTTGTAGGTCCTTTTCTTCTCTTATAGTTCCCACTTAGAGTATTTCCTTTAGCATTTGTTGTAGAGCTGGTTTGGTGGTGCTGAATTCTCTTAGCTTTTGCTTGTCTGTAAAGCTTTTGATTTCTCCATCGAATCTGAATGAGATCCTTGCTGGGTAAAGTAATCTTAGTTGTAGGTTCTTCCTTTTCATCACTTTAAGTATATCATGCCACTCCCTTCTGGCTTGTAGAGTTTCTGCTGATAAATCAGCTGTTAACCTTATGGGAGTTCCCTTGTATGTTATTTCTTGTTTTCCCCTTGCTGCTTTCAATAATTTTTCTTTGTCTTTAATTTTTGATAGTTTGATTACTATGTGTCTCGGCGTGTTTCTCTTTGGGTTTATCCTATATGGGACTGTCTGTGCTTCCTGGACTTGGGTGGCTCTTTCCTTTCCCATGTTAGGAATGTTTTTGACTATAATCTCTTCAAATATTTTCTTGGGTCCTTCTCTCTTTCTTCTCCTTCTGGGACCTGTATAATGCAAATGTTGTTGAGCTTAATGTTGTCCCAGAGGTCTCTTAGGCTTCTTCATTTCTTTTCATTCTTTTTTCTTTATTCTGTTCCATGGCAGTTTTTTCCATCATTCTGTCCTCCAGGTCACTTATCTGTTCTTCTGCCTCAGTTATTCTGCTATTGATTCCTTCTAGTGTAATTCTCATTTCAGTTATTGTATTGTTTATCTTTGTTTGTTTGTTCTTTAATTCTTCTAGGTGTTTGTTCTTTAATTCTTCTAGGTGTATGTTAAACATTTCTTGTGTCTTCTCGATCTGTGCCTCCATTCTTTTTCCAAGATCCTGGATCATCTTCACTATCATTATTCTGAATTCTGTTTCTGGAAGGTTGCCTATCTCCACTTCATTTAGTTGTTTTTCTGGGATTTTATCTTGTTCCTTCATCTAGTACATAGTCCTCTGCCTTTTCATCTTGTCTGTGTTTCTGTGAATGTGGTTTTTGTTCCACAGGCTGCAGGATTGTAGTTCTTCTTGCTTCTGTTGTCTGCCCTCTGGTGGATGAGGCTATCTAAGAGGCTTGAGCAAGTTTCCTGATGGGAGGGAGTGGTGGTGGGTAGAGCTGGGTGCTGCTCTGGTGGGCAGAGCTCAGTTAAACTTTAATTCCCTTGTCTGCTGATGGGTGGGGCTTCGTTCCCTCCCTGTTGGTTGTTTGGCCTGAGGCGACCCAACCCTTGAGCCTACTGGGCTCTTTGGTGGGAGCAATGGCGGACTCTGCTAGGGCTCACACCAAGCAGCACTTCCCAGAACTTCTGCTGCCAGTGTCCTTGTCCTCACTGTGAGACACAGCCACCCCCTGCCTCTGCAGGAGACCCTTCAACAGTAGCAGATAAGTCTGATTCAGTCTCCTATGGGTTCACTGCTCCTTCCCCTGGGTCCTGATGCATACACTATTTTGTGTGTGCCCTCCAAGGGTGGAGTCTCTGTTTCCCCCAGTCCTGTCAAAGTCCTGCGATCAAATCCCGCCAGCCTTCAAAGTCTGATTCTCAAGGAATTGCTCTTCCCATTGCCGGACCCCCAGGATGGGAAGCCTGACGTGGGGCTCAGAACCTTCACTCCAGTGGATGGACTTCTGTGGTATAAGTGTTCTCCAGTTTGTGAGTCACCCACCCAGCAGTTATGGGATTTGATTTTATTGTGATTGCGCCCCTCCTACTGTCTCATTGTGGATTCTCCTTTGTCTTTGGATGTGGGGTATCTTTTTGGTGAGTTCCCGTGTCTTCCTGTTGATGATTGTTCAGCAGTTAGTTGTGATTCTGGTGCTTTCACAGGAGGGAGTGAGGGCAGGTCCTTCTTGTCCACCATCTTCAAGCCATTCTACAATATTGTTTTTTAATCAGTCACACTCAGATGTTTTAGCTTAAAATTTTGCACTCACATTAATGGACTTCGCAGTATGCATAGTAGATTTGTTAACTGTAGAGATACGTGAGTATGTTTAATGAGCCTGAAGTCATAGGTTTGGTACTCAAACAGCCCTCGCCCAAGATGTCTTAATGATACATGCTGTTAGTCAGAAGGGCTGAATAAATATGATTATTATAAACTTATCCCCACTATTGGGGAAATAACTCAAAGTATATACTGTAATAATGGAATTCTCTAGCCAATGGAATCACCTTATATGTAAAGGCCAGAACATTATTGTAACAAAATGTATGTTATACACTAGAGTCATCTTCAGTTCAATATTATCTTGTTTGCATTCTGTCATTTCTGCGTCCTTCATTTCAGCCTCCATTATATCTAATTATAATGCAGTCAGGGCTAAATTACACTTTGAGTGATTAAAAAAGAACAGGAGGGAAGTTGCAAGCAAATGAAAGCAAAAAGAAGTTTTCAAGGGGTCTGTTTAATTTTAGAACAAACTCTTCTGGGGCAGTTCAGAAATAGCCTTTCTCATGAGACAAGCAATGCCTGTTACAAATTACAGTTACAGATCTTTTTTCTTCTTTAATCCACTAAGCTGATACTTCCAGTTACCTTCTACTACCCCTTTACTTTCTCCTAACCCAGTTAGGCATACCGTTGCCCTAGCTGGGGTCACTACATTCACTTTTGTTTTTTTAATTAAGTGACACTGGTCTTCCCTCAGTTTCATCTGCATTATATTTTTTAAAATGAATTGATAGAGTTCTAATTATATTTTGAAGTAAGAATTTTAAAAATTTTCCATAATTTATATAAGTATGAAACATGTTTTTGAAACTTGAAAAACCAGATTTTCTCTTTCTCTTTGGCTGTAGATTACATTCAACTGAAGCAAGAAGATTTTTTTCCTACTTTCTCTATACCCTTCTCTTATTACTGATACTTTCCTGTGATCTGATTTTCTGAATTATTTGGTACCCACAAAACCCAGTGTGTAACCATTATTTTTTTCCAAAGAAAAGAATAGTATTTTATTTTATTTTTTAACCACTTTTACACAGAAAACTTAGATTATATTAGATACTTTGTCTTCTTATTAAAAACTATTATTAAATTAATATTTGGATGTTTTTTCTTTTTTTCAAAACCCAGATCTAACCTATGGACTGTTGATCCCTATTCCCTGTCCGGTAGCCACCAAGGGTTGCTGATTCCTAGAAAGAACTGACGTTTCTGCTTCACGTTATTAATTTTCTTCCTGGCAGTTACAGCAATAGCTGGCCTAGAGAAGTGGGATGGTTGTTAACAAAATGCTTACACCAGAGAACAGCATGACTGCCATAAAATGAACTTTTTTGTTAAGTTGTGTGGCACTTTTTTTTTTCTTAGGAATAAGAGCATTTTAGATTAGTGTGTGTCAGACAATAAAACTTGAGAAAGAAATTACTGTTATTTGGCAATATTGTAATGTGTATGTTGGTATATTCTTGGGTTCTTTGCTACAACTGCAGTCATTTCCTAAGTACACGAGTTCCTTTCTCTAGGACTCTGTCTTACGAGTTTCTAAAAATACTTTATATTTACATGATAAGGTCTCAATGGATTACAATTCATGGGCATTATTTGGATCCCAATTCAAGCAAACAAACAAAGAGTGTTAAACAGTTGTAAGACAGTTGTGGAAATGTGAACATTGCCTGGATATTTGATGATATTGAGGAATTATTTTAGGTTTGATAATGGTATTATGGTTCTTTTTTAAAGAAAAGAGTCTTATCTTTTAGTGATATGTATTTAAATATTTACATATGATACAATATCTGGGATTTGCTTCAAAATAATCAGGGTAAAGGGCAGAGAGTGAGTGGGTAGGAGTATATATGAAACAAGAGCAGCCCAGTGTTACTGATAATTACTGAAGCTGAGAGATGGGTACATCAAGTTTATTATGTTGTTCTCTCTTTTGTGTGTGTGTGTATGTATTTGAAAATTTCCGTACTAAAAAGTTTTTTAAAATGAAGCCTTCTTTTAAAATAGTTTTATTTGATTTTGGCTCAATACTGTACAAAAGTTAAGAAATAAATTTCTCCAGATTCACTTAATCCTTTCACAGTTAAATGAAAGAAAAACTATTATAAGATTATTATTTTTATGAGAAATGTTATCTGAATTGTTTTTCTTATCAATATTCCTAGGAATATATTCTGTACTTGTGGCTCTGATGGCTGGGAAGGCAGAAGTGAGATATAACCCTGCTGTCATACAACCCCCGATGATAGCCGAGTTAATCCGAGAGCTTGGATTTGGAGCCACTGTGATAGAAAATGCTGATGAAGGGGATGGTGTTTTGGAACTTGTTGTAAGTAAGACGTTTTGTGTGGTTAATAGAATTTGCAGGAAAAACTTGGCAAGAATTCAGAAAAGAGTTTGAAAGATAATTAAAATGTGGGGACAATAAAACATAAAATGAAAATTAAGGAAACTGGAAAGATATGACAATGGTGGCCTTCAAGCATAGAATGTAAAAGATAATCATCTCAGACTTCCCTGGTGGCACAGTGGTTGAGAGTCCGCCTGCCAATGCAGGGGACACGGGTTCGTGCCCCGGTCTGGGAAGACCCCACATGCCGCGGAGCGGTTAGGCCCGTGAGCCATGGCTGCTGGGCCTGCACATCCGGAGCCTGTGCTCTGCAACGGGAGAGGCCACAACAGTGAGAGGCCCGCATACAACAACAACAACAACAAAAAGATAATCATCTCTATTAAGAACCAATAAACAAGAATTGGGTTTGAATGAATAAATGAAAACTTCTAAAATATAGTATGATTCCTACATGAAATTACTAGAAGAAATATTTGGAGCTTTTTTCAATATTCTATTTTAAAAATTTCAGACATCAGGAAAGTCAAAAGAATTGTACAGTTGAACATTCTTACACACACTGCATAGATTCTACAATTAACATTTTACTATATTTGTTTTATCATACATCAGTCCATCAGTCCATTGTGGAAATAATTTTAAACTCACAAAGAAATTGCTAAAATAGTACAGAGGATTTCCCTGTAGCCTCTACCTAGCTTTTCCCAGTGATAACATCCAATCTATCATTTAAAAAATAATATTAGAGTAGGAAGAGTCTTTCTAAATATCATACAAAATCCATAAAAGACAAGGTTGATAACTTCAGGTACATAAAAATTTCTTCTTGGGAGAAAAACACCATAAACAAAGTCTAAAGGCAAGTAAAATAATTGTAATTCATATCATAAATGAAGGTTAATTTCCTTAATATATGAAGAAGTGTTGTAAATCAATAAGAGCCATCAAACCAAAAGAAAGATGGTAAAGGATATGAACTAACAGTTCACAGAAAAACCAAAACAGTACCTCTTTAAATGAAAAAATGTTCGATGTCACTTTTAATAAGAGTAAAGCAAATTAAAACTGCACTGAAATGCCATTTTCCACCTGTGAGATTGGTAAAGATAAAAAGCAATTTTGTTAACACTGTGTTTGATCTCTCATATATTGCTGGTGGAATGTCAATTGAGACAAGGACTCAACAGAAGAATTTGGCAATATCTATCAAAAGTAAAATTGCGCATAGCCTTTGCTTCAGAAGCTCCACTTGTAGGAAATTATCCAGCAGACATATTTGGATATGTATGAAATGATATGTGTGCAAAGATGTTCATTATAGTATTATTTTTTTTTGCCTATGCCACACGTGGCATGTGGGATCTTAGTTCCCTGACCAGGAATTGAACCTGCGCCCCCTGCATTGGAAGCACAAAGTCTTAACCACTGGACTACCAGGGAAGTCCTATTGTAGTATTTTTATAATAGCAAAAGATAGGAAACAAACTAAATGTCGGTCATTGGAGACTGATATATACATCCATACCATGGGATACTAAGCAGCTATTACAAAGAATGGGTTGGTTTGTACTTTTTAAAGACTTCTAAAAATTAATAGCTTTATCGAAATATAATTTACATACCATAAAACTCACCCTTTTAAAGTGTACAGTTCAGTGGTTTTTAATATATTCTCAGAGTTGTACAACTAATCACCACTATCAAATTTCAAAACATTTTCATCACCCCAAAAAAGAAACCCCATACCTATTACCAGTCAGTCCTCATTCTTGATATTAATCATTTGAGCCTTCCTTTTTTTTTCCCTTCATCACTCCAGCCAAAAGTTTGTCAGTTTTGTCAATCTTTTCAAGTAACCAACTTTTGGTTTTGTTGATTTTCTCTATTCTCTCTTTTGTTAATTCTCACTCTAACCTTTGTTATTTCCTTCCATCTGTTTGCTTTAGGTTTAGTTTGTTTTACTTTTTCTAGTGTCTTAAGGTAGAAAGTTAGGTTATTTATTTGAGATCTTTCTTACTTTAAAATATTGGCACTTATAAATTTCACTATAGGTACTGATTTCATTTCAGTTATTGTACTTTTCAACTCCAAACTTCCATTGGGCCTTTCTAATAATCTCTCTGTCTTTATTGATACTCTCTGTTTGGTGGGATATTGTCTCATACTTTCCTTTAATTCTTTTTACATCATTTCCTTTAGTTCAGTGAATATATTTAAAATAGCTGATTCAAGATCTTTGCCTAGTAAATCCAATGTCTGGGCTTCATCAGGGAAAGTTTTTTCCTGTGTATAGGCCATACTTTCTTGTTTCATTGTATGTCTGACAGTTTTTGTTGAAAATATAATGTAGTAACTCTGGAAATAAGATTCTTCCCCTCTCCTCAGGGTTTGTTATTTGTTGCTGTTTGTCATTGTTATTGTTTGTTCAGTGACTTCTGAACTAATTCTATAAAGTCTGTGTTCTTTGTTGTGTGTGGCCACTGAAATCTCTGTTTGGTTAGCTCAGTTGTCAGCTAATGATCAGACAGTGATTTCCTTAAATATCTGGAACCAATAAGTCTCCCAGTCTTTGCTAAAGAGCTCTTTGTAAATGTTGGGGCATGCCTTGAACACTCAGCCATGCAGCTGTCAGTTTTGCCTTACCCTTCGACTCCTGCTTCTATGGAGCCTAAAGGTCAGCCTGAGGTGAGAAGTTAGGGCCTTTTCAGTTCTTTTTTGAACATACACACAGCCCTGGACATGTGCATAACCCTATGCATGTGCATGGCCTTCTAGATTCCTAGGAATATGTTGCAGCGCTTATGGACGTCTTGCTTCCTGGCTTTCCTTTTTAGGCTTTTTTGTTAGTCTGTTGTTTGCTCCAACTGTTATCCATTGGCTCAGGCAGCCACAAGGTTAAATAATTTCCTCTAATTGTTTCTGACAAATTCTCCTGGGGAAAAGGCTTTTTGTATTCACTGGGTCATCAGGACAAACAGACATCTTTGCAAGTGGAGAACCATCAGACAAGCCAAATAATGACAGTTGTCTGGGAATGAGGCTTTGAAGGTACTCCAATCCTTTTCTGTCCTCTCTGGTAGCTTTCCTGATGCTGTTTTTCACCATGATCGGTCTTCATGGCTACCCCAGAGCTGGAGGAGAGGGGATGGGAATATGGCAAACTGTAATGCCATATAGCTTGATGTTTTATTGGAATTTATCTGATTTTCTTGAATAAATGCTTCCTGCATTGCTGTAAGCTTTTGTTTAATTTTCAGATTTCTTTTTTAATCAGTTTTTTAAATTGAGGTGTAGATGATTTACAATATTAGTTTCAGGTGTACAGCATAGTGATTCAAAATTCTTACAGATTATATATACTCCATTTAAAGTTATTGTAAAATATTGGCTGTATATCCTGTTCTGTACAATATATCCTCATAGCTTATTTATTTTGTACATAGTAGTTTGTACCTTTTAATCCCTACCCCTATCTTGCCCCAACCCCTTTCCCTTTCCCCATTGGTAACCACTAGCTTGTTCTCTATGTGTAGGTTTCTGTTTATTATATTCATTTCTTTGTTTTATTGTTTAGATTCCACATATAGATGATAAGATACAGTATTTGTCTTTCTCTGTCTGACTTATTTCACTAAGTATAATACCCTCCAAGTCTATCCATGTTGTTGCAAATGGCAAAATTTCATTCTTTTTTATAGCTGAGTAGTATTCCATTGTGTGTGTGTGTGTGTGTGTGTGTGTGTGTGTGTGTGTGTGTGTGTGTATCACATCTACTTTATCCATTCATCTATTGATGGAACTTAGGTTGCTTCCATATCTTGGCTATTATAAATAATGCTGCTATGAGCATTGAGGTACATGTATCGTTTTAATTAGTGTTTTTGCTTTCTTTGGATATATACACAGGAGTGGAATTGCTGGGTCATATGGTAGTTCTATTTTCAGTTTTTTGAGGAACACCCATACCATTTTCTATAGTGGCTGCAGCAATTTACATTCCCACCAACAGTGTACAAGGGTTCCCTTTTTTCCAACTTTTCTGAAAAAGGTGGTTCCAACAACTTTTGCCAGTTTTCTAATTGCTTTTGTGGAGGAGAGAATTTTCAGAAATCCTCACTCCACTATTAATGATATTCTTTTGGTGGATATTCTTGAATAAGTACTTTGTAATTTGTTGTGTACTCTTTTTGGTTACTTCCCATAATCTTTCAGTGGTTGGTTTTTGAAACTTTTGTCCAGTTATATCATTGCTCTTTGGGGAAAGGATTTGCTGAGCTTCTCACACAGTCATTCCAGAAGTCCTGCCCCTCCATTTTAGAATTTAATACCCAACTAAAGTATAACCTCACTCAAGACATAGGGCAAAATACATTTTTGGACAAAGGTAGAACACTTTTGTTATCCATTAACCTTCACTAGAAGTAATACTAAAGGATATATATATATATATATATATATATATATACACACACACACACACACATACATACTTATATACATTAGCAGGGTGAAAAAAATCTAGAGGGAAGCAAGACATTGAATACAAGAAGCAATGATAGTTGTCAAATCCTCTGTCACTGAGTAATAACAGGAAGATGGAGACTTAATGAGATCCTTAATGTTGCAGCTGGGACCATATCTTTGTTCAATGTGATATAAAAACAGTGATCTAATGATCATAATCTAAAGCATATTAATAGTGCAGATAAGATCTTGTGTGTTAATCCCTTGTTACAAGAGTTCTTTTAGTTTAAAGTAACAACACACATTTAATAGAGGAAAAAAGTATATTTCTGAATAACAAAACCTTTGTCTTTAACAGGTGAGAGGAATGACATGTGCCTCCTGTGTACATAAAATAGAGTCTACCCTCACAAAACATGGAGGGATCTTCTACTGCTCTGTGGCCCTGGCAACCAACAAAGCACATATTAAATATGATCCAGAAATTATTGGTCCCAGAGATATTATTCATACAATTGAAGTAAGTGCCAAGACTTTGCATTTCTGTGTTCTTACCTATCTAGTCAGCACTACCTTGAATCACTTCTGGTTTGTATCAGATAGAGATGATGAGAAAAATCTGATTCCTTTGTTTACCTCTATAGACAACGTCTGTCTCAAAATTTAATATAAGAGTGTCTGCCTTTTTCTTTCTTTTTTTTTTTTTTTTTGGTCTTCGTCAGGAGGAATTAGGTAAAGGCACATTGGCATTATTAATCAGGAGCAGACTTAAGGCAGAACCACAGATCATTTAAAAATATTTAGAAAATGTAAGCAAAGTACAATTTGTTATGAGTAAAATTCATGTTAATCACTAAGAAAGTGAAGCATCCTGCTAGATGCTGTATTGTTTGTTAGGTCAAAGCAAATGATATCATAGTTAAAGTAAGAAATTTAAAAGACCAAACCTTTTTCTCTGTGACAAATTCATCCTGCAGTCTTCAGTAAATCTTAAGTGGTAATAGATGTTAAAGTGCTTTAGAAGTTTCACTGTGGTCTAGCATTGGTGTTCTAATGATCTAAAAAGCATATTAATCATTCAGGTAAGATCCTGTTAATGTAGATAGTAATACCATTAACATCTTTGTGAAGCTAGCATTATTGAGTATCTACTATGTGCCAGTTACCAAAATTGCAAAGCTTCAACTCTTGATTTAATTCTCACAACAGTGCTGTCATCTTCATTTTGGAAGTGAGGAAACTCAGGTTATGAGATGTTACTTCCTCAAAGTCACATAGGTAGTAAGTGTCATAGCTGGGATTTGAGCCTAATCTTTCTGACTCCAATGCTCATGCTTGCTCTTTTCACTGTGTTATACTGCCAAGAAATGTAAGATGGCAGCATTTTCCCTAGCAGTTTGAAATATAGTGTATGTTACTGTCTATGTTCATATGAGTCTTACTTAGGTGTAATTTTCTTTCAGTACTTTATTTTATTGCGGAAAATTTTCGTTCGTGTTCTTTTTTCGGGTACAACAAGAATAAAGACTGCATATGCAAACCCTTGAATAATATATTTAGTATGGTGCTAGCTTTTGTGGCCTATTATTCAGTTTTCTGTACTTTTAGGGGATGGATGGATCAATGACTTGATAGATGTCAAAGCTAAAATTAAAAATAAAGTGATTAATATACATCAGTACTAGTAGATGCTTGTCTAAGTGTACGATTTATGATTTTACTGCTGAATTCTCTTCTTTTTATTGGAGTATAGTTGCTTTACAATGTTGTGTTAGTTTCTGCTGTACAGCAAAGTGAATCAGTTATACGTATATCCACTCTCTTTTTTTTTTTTTGCGGTATGCGGGCCTCTCACTGTTGTGGCCTCTCCCGTTGCGGAGCACAGGCTCTGGATGCGCAGGCTCAGTGGCCATGGCTCACGGGCCTAGCCGCTCCGCGGCATGTGGGATCTTCCCGGACCAGGGCACGAACCCATGTCCCCTGCATCGGCAGGCAGACTCTCAACCACTGCGCCACCAGGGAAGCCCTCCACTCATTTTTAGATTCTATTCCCATATAGATCATTACAGAATATTGAGTAGAGTTCCCTGTGCTATACAGGAGGTTCTTATTAGTTATCTGTTTTATACATAGTAGTGTATATATCTCAATTCTGTCTTTATTAGGTCATCATACACTCTGTCGGCCTGACCAAGTAATAGATTCTGCTTTTTTCCAAAATTACTTATTGGAGGCTTTAGTTGACTTCTTGATATAAGAACCTCTACTGAGGACAACTGCACTTGAGTTAAATCAGTAGTTTGAGAACAGTAGGATAGACATCAAATAGAGTTGAGAAAATACTCATTTCTTTGATGAAAGATTAGAAACAAAGGTAATTAAGAGAAGGAAGCACATCTTCATCTTTATATTCCCCAGAATGACTTGCACTTAGTCATTGAATTGAGTTGTTCTTAATGACAATACCACAGCTTAGAATTTCTGTAGGTAATATTTATACATTCAGTGAAATAATTGTTTTCTCATTAATTTCCTTAGAGCTTAGGTTTTGAAGCTTCTTTGGTCAAGAAGGACCGGTCAGCAAGCCACCTAGACCATAAGCGAGAGATAAGACAGTAAGTACTTTTGGAATGTCAATGAAAAACAGATTTTGATTCCTCTTTACAAATTTAATAAACTGTTAGCATGTCAGTTTTTTCAATATCATCCTTACACTGGGTGGGAACTGGTCACAAGTTATATTTCCTTATAGTACATAGAATCTTTAACCATTACCTATTTACTCAAATGATTTTTCTTTTCTATATTAGATGGCGACGGGCCTTTCTTGTGAGCCTGTTTTTCTGTATTCCTGTAATGGGGCTGATGATATATATGATGGTTATGGACCACCACCTTGCAACTCTTCACCATAATCAGAACATGAGCCAAGAAGAAATGATTAGCATTCATTCTTCTACGTTCCTGGAGCGCCAGATCCTGCCAGGATTGTCCATCATGAATTTGCTATCTTTTTTATTGTGTGTACCTGTACAGGCAAGTGAAATGTTAGCAAGTATATTTGTTAATAATGAAAAATAGCCAGAATGTGATAGGTGAGGCTATTTTCAATCGTACAACAAATATTGGCCAGAAGTACGATCATTTTATGCTGGATGCTTTACAAAAAAATAATCTTAAACTGAGTGGTTAAAGTAGATAATAATAAATTCCATTTTAACCCCGAAGGATACTGTTTAATGACAGAGCAGAGAATAAGAGTTCAATTCATCTTCAGTTATGAATTTGGTATTCATATCTGCTATTGTATGTAACTTTATATTTAAAGTTATTATAATAATAAAATGTTATACTTTATTTTATTTTTATTGTCTTTTTTTTAACTTTTTATTTTATATTGGAGTACAGTAGATTAATACTGTTGTGTTAGTTTCAGGTGTACAACAAAGTGATTCGGTTATACATATGCATGTAGGAAGTCTGGGATTGACATGTACATGCTGCTATATTTAAAATGGATAATGGCCAACAAGGACCTACTGTATAGCACAGGGAACTGCCCAATATTCTTTTTTTTAACTTTTTATTTTATATTGGAGTGTAGCCGATAAACAACGTTGTGATAGTTTCAGGTGCACAGCAAAGTGACTCAGCCATACATATACATGTATCCATTCTCCCCCAGATTCCCCTTCCATCCAGGCTGCCACATAACATTGTCTGCTCAATATTCTGTAACAACCTAAGTTGGAAAAGAATTGATAAAATGTTATATTTTATTTCTTTATATTTATATTTTATATTAAATGCATTAAAATTCTCTTTATATAAATTATATTAAATATATTTTATTTTGATATACTTATTATTAATTTATTCTGTAAAATAATCATAATAGTTATATTATTTCTCCATGGCACTTAAGTTCATTACTCTCTGTATGTTTTTTTTAATTTTATTTTATTTCTTTTTTTTGTACAGCAGGTTCTTATTAGTTATCCATTTTATACATATTAGTGTACATATGTCAATCCCAATCTCCCAATTCATCATCCTCCCCTGGCCCCCACTTTCCCCCTTGGTGTCCATACGTTTGTTCTCTACATCTGTGTCTCCATTTCTGCCTTGCAAACTGGTTCATCTGTACCATTTTTCTAGATTCCACATATATGCGTTAATATATGATATTTGTTTTGTTTTTATGACTTACTTCACTCTGTTTGACAGTCTCTAGGTCCATCCACGTCTCTACAAATAATCCAATTTAATTCTCTTTTATGGCTGAGTAATATTCCATTGTATATATGTACCACATCTTCTTTACCCATTCGTCTGTCAGTGGCCATTTAGGTTGCTTCCATGACCTGGCTATTGTAAATAGTGCTGCAATGAACATTGGGTGCATGTGTCTTTTTGAATTATGGTTTTCTCTGGGTATATGCCCAGTAGTGGGATTGCTGGGCCATATGGTAATTCTATTTTGTTTCTTGAGGAACCTCAATACTGTTCTCCATAGTGGCTGTATCAATTTACATTCCCACCAACAGTGCAAGAGGATTCCCTTTTCTCCACAGCTGCTCCAGCATTTATTGTTTGTAGATTTTCTGATGATGGCTATTCTGACCGCTGTGAGGATACCTCATTGTAGTTTTGATTTGCATTTCTCAAATAATTAGTGATGTTGAAAATCTTTTCATGTGTTTCTTGGCCATCTGTATGTCTTCTTTGGACTTTTCAACTCTTCTTTTGAGATAAACTTTTACTGTGGAACACTTCCATCTAATAGATCTATTCCTTTTTCTGATCCTTATAAAAAGCAATAAGTATTTTTAAAACATCTTAGTATGTTTCTCTATACTAATGAACAATAAGCTTTTGGGTTATGTTTCCTAACGAAAACAGTGGACAGATCCAATAGCTTGTGATAGGTTGAATTTGAAAAGAGGGAGGTGAGTTTTATATAAAAAATCATTGTCAAAAGAATGTAATTCTTTTCCTGGTTCTTGTTTTTGCTGGCTTCAAAAAGAAGAATCCGAGAACCACTTGACTTTCTTTATATTATGGAATATCCATTGGATCATAGCAGAGAGCTGCCAAGGGCTTGTACAGCAATTTGAATCCACCCCCCCCACACGCACACACACACGTATCTGCTAAAATACAAGCACTATTGTTTCAGCTTAAAAAAAAAAAAAAAAAAACTCTCCTTAGGGGAATTCCCCATGGCCCAGGTTCGATCCCTGGTTGGGGAACTAAGATCCTGCAGGCCGCATGGTGCAGCCAAAAAAAATTATCTCTCCTTAGTTGTTTATGGATTAAATAAAAGCCAAAGGAAATTAACATTGATACTATATCTTAGTTATTGAGGTATATATGTGAATTTCAGCTTTTTTTAAAAGCACTAATCACTGTTTCTATATTACAGTTTTTTGGAGGCTGGCACTTCTACATTCAGGCCTACAAAGCATTGAAACATAAAACTGCAAATATGGACGTACTGATTGTGCTGGCAACTACCATTGCATTTGCTTATTCTTTGGTTATTCTTCTGGTTGCAATGTATGAGAGAGCCAAAGTGAACCCTGTTACTTTCTTTGACACACCTCCTATGCTATTTGTGTTTATTGCACTAGGCCGGTGGCTGGAACATGTAGCAAAGGTAAAGTAAGAAAGGGTGACATTTATTAAAATCTTGGGTGGGTAAATGACCATAATATTTTCTAGACCAATTATTGGAAATATACATTGATTTATGTAGTTAACGATGTACTAAAAGAAGTATTTTTGTTTTGGCAGTATTTTAGGTTAACTATTCCTTTAGAAGATTTACCAAATTTATGGAATTAATACTTTAGATAATACAGTGTGTCCTTGTTTATTTTAAGAGACATTTAAGAGTACTTATTTTACTTATATCACATTATTAATGGAAAAATTGATGCGACCACAGATTTAAAATAATGATGGAAAAAAATTCACCCACAATCCCATGGTATAACGGAAATCACTTTCTAATCCTGTTCTACATACGTTTATATTTTACGGTGTGGCAAACATGGTATCCATACCACTTTGTGCCCTTAACACTTTAAAGTTTTTTCCCCATTTTTGCAGTCTAGATAATTACTCAGTGTTTCTGAATAATATTCTCTCAAATCAATGTGCTATAATTTACTAAACCATTCTGATTTTATTCTCAATTAGATTGTTTCCAGAGTTTAATTTTAGGTAATCCTGCATTAAACATGGTTAATAGTTATTTCTACTGAATTACTATCTTAGGATAAATTACAAAGGATATGATTAAAGGGCATAAATCTTTCTATGGCTCATGCTACTAATCTTAACAATTTTTGCCATCAAGGGTATGTTAGTGAAGTAGTTTTACTACAACTTCATCAGCACTGACTCCTATCTAAATTTTTGCTAAGTTAGTAGGCATTAAATGGTATCATAGAGTTGCTTTAGTTTGCATTTCTTCCATTAATAGCAGAGGTAAACATTTTCTACACAGCAGGTATTATATTTCTTCTTAAATGAATTGCCTATTTATGTCCTTTGCTCATGTACCTATTGGGTTCTGATGTTTTTCTTATTAATTTACATTATTTATTTATAAATTATACCTAATAATACATTTTATATTCTGTGTACTTCATATTTTCAAAGTGAAACATTTTCTGATTTGAATTAATTAACATTCCTAAAGCTGTCTTTTAAGTAAATGTTAAAGATTATGCCTTTATTTTACATAAGACTTTTTCTTTCTTAACATTGTTAACGTATGTGTTTTAATTTATAGGGCAAAACATCAGAGGCTCTTGCCAAACTAATTTCACTACAAGCTACAGAAGCAACTATTGTAACTCTCGACTCTGATAATATCGTCTTGAGGTATTTACCTTCATTATTCTTCCTTCTCTTTTTAACTTCTTAGGAAAAATATCAAATATACACAGAAGTAGAGAGAAAGGTATAATGAACTCACATAATCTATCTCCCAGATTTAACAATTATTCACATTTTGCCACACTTTACTTCGTCTATACAATCTATTTTTCTTTCTGTTGTTGCAGTAGAATTTTAAAGTAAATCCCAGTTATATGGTTATATGGTTATATGGTTTTACTGCAGATATTCCTGTTGTATTTCTAAAAAAGGACATAGTCTTATATAATCATAATGCCCATACTGCATCTAACAAAATGAACAATTATTCTTTAATGTGATCTAATACACAGTCCATATTAACATTTCTCCTGTTGTCTCCAAACTGTTTTAAGTTTCTTTGTTTGAAATGGAATTCAGAAAAGGTCCATGTGTCACTGCATTTGACTGATATGTTTGTTTGTTTGTTTTAAGTTTTGAGTTTTTTGTTTTGTTTTGGCTGTGTTGGGTCTTCATTGCTGTGTGCGGGCTGTCTCTGGTTTCAGCGAGCGGGGGCTACTCTTCGCTGCAGTGCACGGGCTTCTTATGGTGGTGGCTTCTCTTGTTGCAGAGCACGGGCTCTAGGTGCACAGGCTTCAGTAGTTGTGGTGCATGGGCTCGGTAGTTGTGGCTCACGGGCTCTAGAGCGCAGGCTCAGTAGTTGTGGCGCATGGGCCTAGTTGCTCCACAGCATGTGCAATCTTCCCGGACCAGGGATCGAACCCGTGTCCCCTGCATTGTCAGGCAGATTCTTAACCACTGCGCCACCAGGGAAGCCACTGTTTGGTTTTTTTTTGATTTTTTAATTGAGTTATAGTTCATGTACAGTAGTATATAAGTTACAAGTGTACAATGTAGTGATTCACAATTTTTAAAGGTTATACTCCATTTATAGCTATTATAAAATATTGGCCATATTCCCCATGTTGTACAATATATCCTTGTCGCTTATTTATTTTATACATAGTAGTTTGTACCTCTTAATCCTCTACCCTATATTGTTCTTCACCGTTCCCTTTTCCCACCGGTAACCACTAGTTATTTCTCTACATCTGTGAGTCTGCTTCTTTTTTGTTGTACTTACTAGTTTGTTGTATTTTTTAGATTGCACATATAAGTGACATCATACAGTATTTGTCTTTCTCCTGACATGTTTGTTTTAATGTAGAATAGCTCCTCTCTCCAGTTCTCCCTCCCTTGTTCCTCCCTGCTCCTCCCTCTCCATACATTTGACTTGGTAAAGAAACATCTATCAGTAGTCCTTTAGAAAATCCCACAGTCCAAATTTGTCTCTGTTTCTGTCTGGAATCATTTAACTTGTTCTATAACTCCTATATTACCTGTAAACTGGAAGTTAGAGCTAAAGACTTGATTAGATTTCATTCTTTTGTATTTCTCATTCCTTTCCTCATAAAATTATTTAGGCAAATGTATACAATAAATTAGTTGTTTTGTTCAGTAAAACCCATTACATTCTTTCTAAAGCTTTCATTTATTAGTTCAATGACTATTCAACAAATACTTAGAGTGCTTCTTTGTGCTAGCTACTGAGCTATTCCCCAACAGTGAAAAAGACTGACACTGTAGCTCCTAACTTAAATGTTGGTTTTAACTTCCATTGGTAGCAATTATGGGGCCACAAGCTTGATGTCAACTAAAAAGCTTGCATGGAAAGATCAGGGGGAGAAGCATACTGTCATGGTGCTTTTTATTTTAACTCATATCCAGTGAAGAGCAAGTGGATGTGGAACTTGTACAACATGGAGACATCATTAAAGTGGTTCCAGGAGGCAAATTTCCAGTGGATGGGCGTGTTATTGAAGGACATTCTATGGTAGATGAGTCCCTCATCACAGGTATGTTCTTTCAGAGGATCATGACATGAAAGTGAAGTGAATCCAAAGTGTTAATTAAAAATAGGCATGAAAGAAGTCCAAAAGATGGCGTACTAGGAGGATGCAGAATTCGCATCTCCTCACAACTAGGGCACCTACCAGGCACCAGTGGGGAACCACAGACACCTAACGGGATGGGAGGAGCCCCCAGCCACCGGGTAGGACATGGGGCATGGGGGGAGTGAAGGGGGAGGAGAAGTGGAGGTGGGATGGGACTGGCGCCCCTGAGGGGCAGGGATCCCACACCCGAAGGAGGAAATTAGGGAACCACTGGGAGGACAGAGGATCAAAAGGGAGCATGGCCAGGCTTCCCCTGCACACTTGGGCCCTGGAACCTCCTGAGATCCCGGGCCTGATTCTCTGCCCACCTAGGCCCCCTCCAGCTGTGCAGGTCCTGAGGGAGTGGGAGGGAAGGGGAAGCAAAAGTAAAGTCCGGACCTCTGGGACTGGCACCCCTGAGGGGTGGCTGGGGGAGGGGAGGCGTTCCTACACCCAGTGGGACCCACCCACGGTTAGGAGTCCATCAGGAACAGGGGAGACCCTGGGGGAGGCGGTGGGGGAGGGGCAAGAAGGAAAGGGAGGGAAGGGGCCAGTGCTTTCCCTGTCCACTTAGGCACCGGGGCACCTGTTGGGCTCCCAGGCCTAATCCTCTGCCCTTGGAGCCTCCCTCCTGCCACACAGAGCCCAAGCCCTGCCCCACACCCCCACCCAGGGCCCTACCTCTACACTCGGAGACCCCCTCCAATGAGCTGGGCCTAAACTCCACCCACACACCCTCGCCCAGGGCCCTACCTCCAAACTCGGGAACTCCACACTCCAGAGGCCCTCATTTCCACGTGCTGCCTGTCCCCTTTAGCGCAGGTCCTAAGCAGAGGCCCCTCCCCATGCTTGAATGTCTCCCTGTCTAGGCCCCACCCCACGCTCAAATGTCACTTCCCCACCCGCCTAGGTCCTGCCACACCGTAAACCCTGCCCCTGCCTAAGTTCCACCCCCCCTAAACTCCACCCCCATAGCCAAGTCTTTTTTTTTCCTTTTATTTTTGTAATTTTATTTTATTCTTTATACTTTGTTAGTGATCTCTCCTTTTGGCTTCTTCCCTGCCCCCCACCTTGTTTTTTTTTCTTTTTTCTGTTGTGGTTTTATTTTACCTTGTTGCAGTTGTTTCAATTATAATTTTATTTTTCCTAATACAATTTTTATCTTTCTAATTTTATTTTATTTTTTATTCGTTGATATTGTACTGCTCCTTTTTTTCTTTCTTTCTACCTTTTTTTTTCTTTTTTTACCACACCACAAAGCTTGCGGGATCTTGGTTCTGAGGCTGGAGGTTTGGCCTGAGCTCCTGTGGTGGGAGCTCAGAGTCCAAGCCACTGGACTAACAGACAACCTCAGACCCCAGGGAATATCAATTGGAGTGAGGCCTCCCGGAGGTCCTCATATCAGCACCAAGACCCAGCTCTATCCAGCTGCCTGCAAACTCCAGTGCTGGATGTCTCAGGCCAAACTACCAGTAAGACAGGAATATACCACCACCCATCAAAGAAAAAAAAGTGAAATGACAAAAAAATATGTTACAGATGAAGGAGCAAGGTAAAAAACTACAAGACCAAATAGATGAAGATGAAATAGGCAACCTACCTGGAAAAGAATTCAGACAAATGATAGTAAAGATGATCCAAAATCTTGGAAACAGAATGAAGAAAATACAAGAAACATTTAACAAGGATCAAGAAGAGCTAAAGAGGAAACAAACAGTGATGAACAACACAGTTACTGAAATTAAAAATACTCTAGAAGGAATCAGTAACAGAATAACTGAGGCAGCAGAACGGATAAGTGACCTGGAAGATAAAATGGTGGAAATAACTGACAGGGAGCAGAATTAAGAAAACAGAATAAAAAGAATTGAGGACAGTCTCAGAGGCTTTGGGGACAACATTAAATGCACTAACATTTGGATTATAGGGGTCCCTGAAGAAGAAGAGATAAAGAAAGGATCTGAGAAAATACTTGAAGAGATTATAGTCGAAAACTTCCCTAACATGGGAAAGGAAATAGTCAATCAAGTCCAGGAAGCACAGAGAGTACCATGCAGGATAAACACAAAGAGAAACATGCTGAGACACATTAAATAACTATCAAAAATTAAATACAAAGAAAAATGTTAAAAGCAGCAAGGAAAAAGCAACAAATAACGTATAAGGGAATCCCCATAAGGTTTACAGCTGATTTTTTGGCAGAAACTCTGCAAGCCACAAGGGAGTGGCAGGACATATTCAAAGTGATGAAAGGGAAAAAACTACAACCGAGATTACCCAGCAAAGATCTCATTCATTTTTTTTTCTTTTGTTTTTGCGGTACGTGGGCGTCTCACTGTTATGGCCTCTCCTCTTGCGGAGCACAGGCTCCGGACACACAGACTCAGCGACTATGGCTCACGGGCCCAGCCGCTCCATGGCATGTGGAATCTTACCGGACCAGGGCACGAAGCGTGTCCCCTGCATCGGCAGGCGGACTCTCAAACCACTGTGCGACCAGGGAAGCCCCCTCATTCAGTTTTGATGGATTAATTAAAACCTTTACACATAAGCAAAAGTACAGAGAATTCAGCACCACCAAACCAGCTCTACAACAAATGCTAAAGGAACTTCTCTAGGCAGGCAAAAAAAGAGAAGGAAAAGACCTACAAAAACAAACCCAAAACAATTAAGAAAATGGGAATAGGAACATACATATCAATAATTACCTTAAATGTAAATGGATTAAATGCACCAACCAAAAGACATAGACTGGCTGAATGGATACAGAAACAGGACCCATATATATGCTGTCTACAAGAGACCCACTTCAGACCTAGCGACACATACAGACTGAAAGTGAGGGGATGGAAAAAGATATTCCATGCAAATGGAAATCAAAAGAAAGCTGGAGTAGCAATTCTCATATAAGACAAAATAGACTTTAAAATAAAGACTATTACAAGAGACAAAGAAGGACACTACATAATGATCAAGGGATCAATCCAAGAAGAATATGTAACAATTGTAAATATTTATGCACCCAACATAGGAGCACCTCAATGCATAAGGCAAATGCTAACAGCGATAAAAGGTGAAATCATCAGTAACACAATCATAATAGGGGACTTCAACACCTCACTTTCACCAATGGACACATCATCCAAAATGAAAATAAATAAGGAAACACAAGCTTTAAATGGTACATTAAACAAGATGGACTTAATTGATATTTATAGGACATCCCATCCAAAAACAACAGAATTCACTTTCTTCTCAAGTGCTCATGGAACATTCTCCAGGATAGATCATATCTTGGGTAACAAATCAAGCCTTGGTAAGTTGAAGAAAATTGAAATCGTATCAAGTACCTTTTCTGACCACAGTGCTGTGAGACTAGATATCAATTACAGGGAAAACAATGTAAAAAATACAAACACATGGAGGCTAAACAATACACTAGTAAATAACGAAGAGATCACTGAAGAAATCAAAGAGGAAATCAAAAAATACCTGGAAACAAATGACAATGAAAACACGACAACCCAAAATCTATGGGATGCAGCAAAAGCAGTTCTAAGAGGGAAGTTTATAGCAATACAGTCCTACCTCAAAAGAAAGAAAAATCTCAAATAAACAAACTAACCTTACATCTAAAGCAATTAGAGAAAGAAGAACAAAAAAACCCTGAAAGTTAGTAGAAGGAAATAAATCTTAAATATCAGATCAGAAATAAATCAAAAAGAAATGAAGGAAACAGTAGCAAAGATCAGTAAAACTAAAAGCTGGTTCTTTGAGAAGATAAACAAAATTGATAAACCATTAGCCAGACTCATCAAGAAAAAAAGGGAGAAGACTCAAATCAACAGAATTAGAAATGAAACAGAAGAAGTAAAAACTGATACTGCAAAAATACAGTGGATCATGAGAGATTACCACAAGCAAGTCTATGCCAATAAAATGGGCAACCTGGAAGAAATGGACACATTCTTAGAAAAGCACAACCTTCTGGCACTGAACCAGGAAGAAGCAGAAAATATAAACAGACCCATCACAAGCACTGAAATTGAAACTATGATTAAAAATCTTCCAACAAGCAAAGGCCCAGGGCCAGGTGGCTTCACAGGTGAATACTATCAAGCATTTAGGGAAGAGCTAACACCTATCCTTCTCAAACTCTTCCAAAATACAACAGAGGGAGGAAGACTCCCAAACTCATTCTATGAGGCCACCGTCACCCTGATAGCAAAACCAGACAAAGATGTCACAAAAGAAACTACAGCCCGATATCTCTGATGAACATAGATGCAAAAATCCTCAACAAAATACTACCAAACAGAATCCAACTGCACATTAAAAGGATCATACACCATGATCAAGTGGGGTTTATCCCAGGAATGCAAGGATTCTTCAATATACGCATATCAATCATTGTGATACACCACATTAACAAATTGAAGGAGAAAAACCATATGATCATCTCAATAGATGCAGAAAAAACTTCTGACAAGATTCAACACCCGTTTATGATAGAAACTCTCCAGAAGGTAGGCATATAGGGAACCTACCTCAACATAATAAAGGCCATATATGACAAACCCACAGCCAACATCATTCTCAGTTGTGAAAAACTGAAACCATTATCCCTAAGATAGGAACAAGAAAAAGTTGTCCACTCTCACCACTACTATTCAACAAAGTTTTGGAAGTTTTAGCCATGGCAATCAGAGAAGAAAAAGAAATAAAAGAAATATAAATTGGAGAAGAAGTAAAACTGTCCCTGTTTGCTGATGACATGATACTCTACGTAGAGAACCCTAAAGATGCTACCAGAAAACTACTAGAGCTAATCAATGAATTTGGTAGAGTTGCATGATACAAAATTAATGCCCAGAAATCTCTTGCATTCCTATACACTAATGATGAAAAATCTGAAAGAGAAGTTAAGGAAACACTCCCATTTACCATTGCAACAAAGAGAATAACATACCAGGAATAAACCTACCTAAGGAGACAAATGACCTGTATACAGAAAACTATGAGACACTAATTAAAGAAATTAAAGATGATACAAACATATGGAGAGATATACTATGTTCTTGGATAGGAAGAATCAACATTGTGAAAATGACTATACTACCCAAAGCAATCTACAGATTCAGTGTAAGCCCTATCAAACTACCAATGAAATTTTTCACAGAACTAGAACAAAAAATTGCCCAATTTGTATAGAAACACAAAAGACCCTGAATAGCCAAAACAATCTTGAGAAAGAAAAACGGAGCTGGAGGAATCAGGCTCCCGGACTTCAGACTATGTTACAAAGCTACAGGAATCAAGGCAGTATGGTACTGGCACAAAAACATAAATATAGATCAATGGAACAGGATAGAAATCCCAGGTATAAACCCACACACCTATGGTCACCTTATCTTTGATAAAGGGTGCAAGAATATACAATGGAGAAAGGACAGCCTCTTCAATAAGTGGTGCTGAGAAAACTGGACAGCTACATGTAAAAGAATGAAATTACAACATTCCCTAACACCATACACAAAAAATAAACTGAAAATGGACTAAAGACCTAAATGTAAGGCCAGACACTATTAAACTCTTAGAGGAAAACAGAGGCAGAACACTCTGTCACATAAATCACATCAAGATCCTTTTTGACCCACCTCCTAGAGAAATGGCATTAAAAACAAAAATTTTAAAATGGGACCTAATGAAACTTAAAAGCTTTTGCACAGCAAAGGAAACCATAAACAAGACAAAAAGACAACCCTCAGAATGGGAAAAATATTTGCAACGAAGCAACCGACAAAGGATTAATCTCCAAAATATACAAGCAGCTCAATATCAAAAAATCAAAGAACCCAATCCAAAAATGGGCAGAAGACCTAAATAGACATTTCTCTAAAGAAGATATACAGATTGCCAACAAACACATGAAAGGATGCTCAACATCACTAATCTTTAGAGAATTGCTGATCAAAACTAAAATGAGATATCATCTCACACCGGTCAGAATGGCCATCATCAAAAAATCTAGAAACAATAAATGCTGGAGAGGGTGTGGAAAAAAGGGAACACTCTTGCACTGTTGGTGGGAATGTAAATTGATACAGCCACTATGGAGAACAGTATGGAGGTTTCTCTAAAAACTACAAATAGAAGTATCATATGACCCAGAAATCCCACTACTGGGCATATACCCTGAGAAAACTATAATTCATAAAGAGTCATGTACCAATATGTTCATTGCAGCTCTATTTACAATAGCCAGGACATGGAAGCAACCTAAGTGTCCATCATCAGATGAATGGATAAAGAAGATGTGCCACATATATGCAATGGAATATTACTCAGCCATAAAAAGAAACGAAATTGAGTTATTTGTAGTGAGGTGGATGGACCTAGAGTCTGTCATACAGTGTGAAGTAAGTCAGAAAGAGAAAAACAAATACCGTATGCTAACACATATATTTGAAATGTAAGAAAAAAATAAAAGGTCATGAAGAACCTAGGGGTAAGACGGGAATAAAGACACAGACCTACTAGAGAATGGACTTGAGGATATGGGGAGGGGGAAGGGTAAGCTGTGACAAAGTGAGAGAGCGGCATGGACATATATACACTATCAAACGTAAAATAGATAGCTAGTGGGAAGCAGCCGCATAGTACAGGGAGATCAGCTTGGTGGTTTGTGGCACCTAGAGAGGTGGGATAGAGAGGGTGGGAGGGAGGGAGATGCAAGAGGGAAGAGATATGGGAACATATTTATATGTATAACTTATTCACTTTGTTATAAAGCAGAAACTAACACACCATTGTAAAGCAATTATACTCCAATAAAGATGTTAAAAAAAAAGCACAATGAGGTATCACCTCATACCGGTCAGAATGGCCATCATCAAAAAATCTGCAAACAATAAGTGCTGGAGAGGGTGTGGAGAAAAGGGAACCCTCTTGCACTGTTGGTGGGAATGTAAATTGATACAGCTACTATGGAGAACAGTATGGAGGTTCCTTAAAAAACTAAAAAGAGAACTACCATTATGACCCAGCAATCCCACTACTGGGCATATACCTCAGAAAACCATAATTCAAAAAGTCATGTACCATAATGTTCATTGCAGCACTATTTACAATAGCCAGGACATGGAAGCAACCTAAGTGTCCATCATCAGATGAATGGATAAAGAAGATGTGGCACATATATACAATGGAATATTACTCAGCCATAAAAAGAAACAAAATTGAGTTATTTGTAGTGAGGTGGATGGACCTAGAGTCTGTCATACAGAGTGAAGTAAGTCAGAAAATGCAAAACAAATACATATGCTAACACAGATATATGGAATCTAAAATAAAAACAAAAGGTTCTGATGAACCTAGGGGCAGGACAGGAAGAAAGACACAGACATAGAGAATGGAGTTGAGGACACGGGGAAGGGGAAGGGTAAGCTGGGACGAAGTGAGAGAATAGCATTGACATATATACACTACCAAATGTAAGATAGATAGCTAGTGTGAAGCAGCTGCATGGCACAGGGAGATCAACTCAGTGCTTTGTGAACACCTAGAGATGTGGGATAAGGAGGGCGGGAGGGAGATGCAAGAGGGAGGGAATATGGGGATATACATATGCTTATAGCTGATTCATTTTGTTATACAGCAGAAACTAACACAACATTGTAAAGTAATTATACTCCAATAAAGATGTTTAAAAAAATAGACATGAAAGGTGAAGAACTTTTTGTAGAAACTATGGACCGAGTAAATAATGAGCGAAGAGAATATGAGTTTTTTTAAGAATGTATTAAATCAGTTTCTGCAGATTTTCTTTGTGGTTTTATTTATGCTACTGAAGGCTCTTTTCACTGAGGATTGTTAATTACTAGAATGTATAACCAGAGGAAGTTGTCACATTCTGCTGTAGAGCCCAGTAGACTTTGGCAAATTTTCCTGAGCAGATACCTATTGGGTCTTCCTGCCCTAAAGACTGGTCTAGTCTGAGCTGGTATAGGACTCCAGGTTTTCCACATCAGGGTCCGCTCTAAAGAGAATAAGCCTGGAGTAATTTTAGAGATCTTAGATAACTAAGGCCAATACAGAGCAGAACCAAAATAACACCTTTCCTACCTCAGTCCTTAACGATAGTGGCTCAGTTTATGAATTGTGTGGAAATAATTTAGGATTCTGTGTTTCTCAGTAGGGGTGCTATTGCTAGTTTGGATGGGACAGTTCTTAGTTCTGATTGACTATCCTACACACGGTACATTTAATATCCGTGACCCTGACCTACTAAATTGGAGTAGCAGTACCCATGCTCCACCTGTAGTTATTACAGGCAAGAACTCTCTCCTACATTTATAAAGGCTCCTTGGGAACAGGTTGAGAAGCAATGATCTAAGACTAGGGTGGAAGTCCAAAAGTACCTGCCAATAAAAGTTAACACATTAGGTTTTTCCAGTTTAAGATATATATCCCTGGGTTTGGCCCAGAACTGACATAAGGAAAGAGAGAGGGCAACCTTCACCTAGGCATTTGTCCAGATTCTATTTCAGGAAATAAGAATCTCCTTTCTAGATATTGACAATTGACAAATAACTGTATATTTCAAGATAGTATTTATTTATGCTCCCTAAATGTATCTTTACTCCTTATATAGGGGAGGCAATGCCTGTGGCTAAGAAGTCTGGCAGCACAGTGATTGCTGGTTCCATTAACCAGAATGGGTCACTCCTTATCCGTGCAACCCATGTTGGAGCAGACACAACCCTTTCTCAAATTGTCAGACTTGTAGAGGAGGCACAAACATCAAAGGTAAATTAACTCCCTAGGAGAAACAAAGTATTTTCATGAAAGCCCACTCAGTATAAATCTTGATCTAGTTTTTATGTGTTCCTTTGATTAATTCTAGCTGTATTAATATGGAGTTTATTAAAATATTTGTGCTCAATACCAAATATGCTCTGTATTCATTATCAAAAAAGGAGACTTTGATATACATATCATTTTTTTTTTAATTCTAGGCTCCTATCCAGCAGTTTGCAGACAAACTCAGTGGCTACTTTGTTCCTTTTATTGTCATTGTTTCCATTGCTACCCTTTTGGTTTGGATTATAATTGGATTTCTGAATTTTGAAATTGTGGAAACCTACTTTCCTGTGAGTGACTTATAACACCTTTTTTCATATGTAAAACTGTGTGAATCTTTTGCATAAGTAAGTAATTGGAAAATAACTAATAATTACTGGTATCTTTAACAGACTGGAGTGAGAGGATGATAAGAATAACATTTGCATTTCTGTAAATATAAAAGAAAACATAAAAGGTTTTTTTCATTATGACTTGTGATTTTCCAAAAGCAAGTACAGGCATACCTCGTTTTATTGCACTTTGCTTTATCGTGCTTTGAAGATATTGTGTTTTTTACAAATTGAAGGTTCGTGGCAACTCTGCGTCGAGCAAGTCTATCGACGCCATTTTCCCAACAGCATTATTTTTTAATTAAGGTATGTACATGTTTCTTGCGACATAATGATGTTACACATTTAGTAGACCACGGTATAGTGTAAACATAACTTTTACATTCATTGGGAAACCAAAGAATTCTTGTGACTCACTTTATTTCGGTGGTCTGGAACTGAACCCACAATATCTCCGAGGTATGCCTATAGTGACCTTTCACATTTTATACTTAGTCTGAGTCCCAGCATGATTTTGCTTTCATAAAGGACAATGGATATATTGAGGAAAATCTTGGGATCTCAGCTCTGCCACATACCATCAGTGTGATCTTAGGTCAACTTGATTTCTCTTTGAGCTTCGGTTTCCTCACCTCTCAAGTGAGATTTTAATAATGCTCATCCAACATAACTTGCAGTTGTAAAAGTTAGAAAAGATGATATATATTAGGCATGCTTTGTAATTTATTAAGTGCTTTATAAATATAATATTAGTGTCTGCTTTTCTCTAGTTCTATGATGTTCTCTAACGTATGGGACCTGGACTGTACCTCATGTTAGAGATAAAACCTTTAAGTCACTGAATTTCTCTTATCTTCAGTTTTGTCATCTGTAATATAGTGATAATAATACCTAAATTTCAGGGTTGGAATTAGTGTAGATGAAAACATACACTTATGACATATATGAAAGCATAAGCTTAGATGTCTATGAAAATCTCTTCCAACTCTGTCTCTCTCTATATATATAACTCTTAGATGATCACTTAGTTTAAGTATTTGAGAACTTAGAACATAGCACTGTAAAACCATTATTTCTAAGAAAGTCTTACTTTGTTGTGTTTCTTTCTTTTAAAAATGCCATGCTGTACACTGTTTCATGCTGTTTTTCCCTTCAATTAAAGAACAGGTAGAATCATAACATCTATGTATCTATTACATGATATGGTCATTAGTATAATATTAAAAAGTTTTTTTAAATGATTCATATTGGTTGAGTACTCATTGAACAAGAGGATTGCTGGGAAGTATTTTGGAATGTGCCTCCTTCAGGAATTTTTCTCATGAGTTCAGGGAGTCCTTAGGAGATTTCTCCTAATACTATCGATCACACTTAACCACAGAAGCAAATACTCAATGTCACTAAGAGCTATACTACCAGATATACTCAGTTCACGTTGTTTTGTCCAAAAGAATTTTATTGAAATGTGGTGAAGCAACCTTTGCAAACTGGGTGATTTTTTTCATTGTCTTTAAAGAATAGTGTGAAAGACAGCTTTATGGTGTTAGTGTACAGAAGTACAGAATTATTTTTGTTCAGGATCAAATATGTTGAGAATTGGGTCGTATGTTTGCAGCTATATTTGAAAGTCCCTAATAAAACACTTATTCTCTCAATATGGGGGGGGGAGTTGACTTTTATTATGTTCCTTATATTCACTCCATAGTTTGTAACTCTGGAATCAGCAAAATTGAAATCTTGATTTTAGGACTGTAACTTGTTTACCAGTTATATCAACAATATCTTATATTCATAAAAGAAAAAAAGTGTTTTCTTACTAATAGCTAAAACGTATGTTGGTAGCTAAGCAGGATTATGTGTGACTCCAAAATTTTGGTTTTATTTAAATAGAGTTAAGCTTTGTTCCTTTTGTTTTATCCAGCTCTGAATCAGTAATCAAAATTCATGCGTTTCTTCTCAAGGGCTACAACAGAAGTATCTCCCGAACAGAAACAATAATACGCTTTGCTTTCCAAGCCTCAATCACAGTTCTGTGCATTGCATGCCCCTGTTCACTGGGATTGGCCACTCCAACTGCCGTGATGGTGGGTACAGGAGTAGGCGCTCAAAATGGCATACTAATCAAAGGTGGTGAGCCATTGGAGATGGCTCATAAGGTAAGATACTCCCCAGAACTAAGAGTTGTCTCATTCAAACTGGCAATAGCACCCGTATTGAAAAATAGAGTCTTAAATTATTTCTACATAGCCCATAAGCTGAGCCTCTTCTGGCACTATCGTGAGGGTTGAGGTAGGAAAGGTGTCAGTTTGGTTCTGCTCTGGATTGGCCTTAGCTATATGAGACCTCTAAAACTACTCCAGACCTACTCTCTTTAGAGTAGACCCTGGTGTGGAAAACCTGGAGTCCTATCCCAGCTCAGATTAGACTGGTCTCTAGGGCAGGAAGACACCATAGATATTTGCTCAGGCAATTTGCCCAAGTCTGTCAGGCTTCTAACCCGTTTGTGTGTGGCTCCATGTTTGTGCTGTTCACCATTAGATAGGGCTTGCTGTTCCTCTGCCTTTGCTGCCACCAGCTGACAGTTTGCAACTATGACTTGAGGAATATAATCCTGTCCCTGATCTCTCTCCTATTGGAATTGCCATCACAATCTCAATCAAGGCTATTTGACTTAAACTAAAACCATGTTCCTTCTAGTATGTTCTTATTATGAGGATATAAACTATAAAGAGATGCATGTAGTAAACACAGAACACAACTTAGAACAGATTTGGAACCTCATCTAGCCAGTGAATACGGGCTACTAATTTTTATAGTAATTTTAAATTTTGATATGATTTCAAACTTAAATAAAAGTTGAAAGAATGGTATAAAGAACTCCCATATACCCTTTACTGCAGATATGAAGCCCCTTTCCTAAGAACAAGGGCAATCTCTTACATAACCACAGTACAAAGATCAAAATCAAGAAGTTGATATTAATACTCTTGTTTAATCTGTTGTCCATATTCCAGTTTCCTCAGCTGACTCCATAATCCTTTATAGCTGTTTTTAATTTCAACCAGAATCATGCTTTGTACTTAATTGTCATATCTCTTTTCATCTCAGTTCCTCAAGCTATTCATTTCTCAAGTTTCATTATCCGAGTTTACTGTGAGGTGACTGTTCTTTAGTTCCAGACTCTTCCTTTTTCCTACCTGGTCTGAGTGTCCCTCGTTGGTTCCCAGCTGTCTCTTCTCAGGGCAGGCTTCTCATCTAGAGCCAATAAAGTCAAAGCAACCCAGAAGGTCTTATCTGGTGCACACTTCAACTTAATTACTTACTTATAATCATTTGCCTACTGCCCAGATTTCCCCTACAGATCTATTCATTAGTACTGAAAGCCTTTCTCTTTCCCTGGAAGCACTAGAGGCATCTCTTAATTACCTATTAACAGTCAACTCTTAACAAGTAGTTCTAGTTATTTAACATATGTCCACAGTACGTTGAACATTTGCAAGGGAGGGCTATTAGGTGTAACTAAGGATATTTCTTCCCTTTTTCTCCCTTCTTTTTATTCTCCCAAAGACAGTTTATTTAGTCCAATTAAATCAGAGGTCAGCTTATTACGAAACAAGATAGTAATGTGTTTGTCAAAGTAAACCTTTTTCTCATTTCTGGAAAGCTAATATTAAGAATTATCAAGCCATATAGGTGCATTGTATGTTGATTTTCTTACAGGTAAAGGTAGTGGTATTTGATAAAACTGGAACCATAACCCATGGAACCCCAGTAGTGAATCAAGTAAAGGTTCTAGTGGAAAGTAACAGAATGTCATGCAATAAGATCCTGGCCATTGTGGGAACTGCTGAAAGTAACAGTGAACACCCTCTAGGAGCAGCAATAACCAAATACTGCAAGCAGGTACAATTTTTCCCTTGTTTATTCATGATTTACATATATATAGTTGGTATGAAGCTAGAGAGACTCATGTTTTCTCATTTTATTTTGTATGTCTTAATTTCTTCATGCAGGAAAGTATAAAGATGAAAACAAAAATTAACTATAACCCTACCACACAGATAACCCCAGTCAACTAAAAAATTAATATAGAAGTAATACATATTTATGGTAGGAAAATTCAGATAGTTCAGCATTACATAATGAAAAAGGAAAACCTCATTCCCTGCCCCCTTCCATAATTCCTCTCTCCAAAGTTTAACAAGTATTAACCTGTTAACAGTCTTTTTAAATAACAGCTTTATTGAGGTAAAATTCACATACCATAAAGTTCACCCTTGTAAAGTTACAATTCAATAATTTTTAGTATATTCACAAAAGTGTGCATCTGTTAACCATTTTTAGTTCATATACCAGCATTTATTATTTTTTAAACTTTACATAGAAAGGTGATACATTGACCAATCTTTGGTACCTTTTAAAAAGACTTTATTAAATGATTTTTCCATATCAGGACATATAGATCTGCCTCATTGTTTTTAATGACTATATTGTATTCTATTGTATGATTGGTTTTTTGGCCCTTACAGTGTACAGTTAACATCCTTGTCAGCTTTTGCACATTTATCTCTAATGTTCAATGCCTATCAATGCAACTGCTAGATCAAAGGATACATGCTGTTAAATTCTGATGAATATTACCAATGCTCAAATGACAAATATTATCAACACCCACACAAAAAGGTGTACCAGTTTATATTTTCACGAGAAGTTGAATGCCCATTTCCCCACATTCTCACCAACAGTTTATTTTTTCCAATTCAATAAGTAAAAAATATTTATTCATTGATGGTTTACTTTGCATTTTTTAATTATGAATAAGGTTGAGCATCTTTTCACATGTGTATTGGCCATTTGAATTTCTTTTTCTATACCCTGTTTGCTTGTATCCTTTGCCTATTTTTTCATAAGATTGTTTACCTTTTTCTCATTGATTTGTATAAGTTCTTTGTAAATTATCTCACATAGTTTTTCAGTTAGAACATGGCAGTTTCACCATTGGTGTTCCCATTTCTTTATTTGTTCTTTCCTTTTTACCTATTAACTATTACTGACCTGGCTTCTTTACACCCAAATCAAATAACAGAGAGGATGAAGATATAAAGAGACAGGAAACAGTGATGGTCACCAGAATTCTTTGGCTCACTAAGGACACAGAATCATACTAGAGAGACCCTCTGGTAACTGAAGGCCCTGTTTTTTGTTACCCTTTTCCCTGTACTGAATAGAAAATCTGACTTGAAAATAGAATTAAATATGTAACTTGTAATTCTCTACTGGAAAGGACAGAGAAAATTGATAAACCTTCCACATTTTCTTTCCTTAAAGTTGGTATAAATCTTATAAAGTGGGATTTAAAATAAGTATTGTGAGCTTCTCCTCTAACTTTGAACATTATACGCAATGCTCTGTTCCTTCGTCCTTATCAAAAACCCACTGTCAAATAGGCAATGATAAGTGATAGTTTTATTCTAAACATTCAGAATTAACCAGGCATGTAGATTGTGTCTAAACATTTAGAATTAACCAGCAGTAATCTTTGATCTTGCTAATGAGGACCTTGGATTATTAGAACAGCAGAGGAAATCCTTCTGTTTCTATCCGTTAGGAGCTGGACACTGAAACCTTGGGTACCTGCATAGATTTCCAGGTTGTGCCAGGCTGTGGTATTAGCTGTAAAGTCACCAATATCGAAGGCTTGCTACACAAGGATAACTGGAAGATAGAGGAAAATAATATTAAAAATGCATCCCTGGTTCAAATAGATACAAGTAATGAACAGTCATCAACTTCATCTTCCATGATTATTGATGCCCAGCTCTCAAGTAAGCTAATTTTCTTTGTAGTACCAATTATGGGACAGTTATTAACAGATGTCTAACTTTATAATCTGAACTGTTATATAAGAAACAAGATTGGTGTCATGGTTTCATTTTCGTAAATCAGTTTCACTGTAGGCCTTCTAATTATTTTACTCAGTTACTCAAGAACATTTTTCAGCTGTGCTCCTTGATTACAGTAGAGGGTGATAAAGTCTATCCTTAGCTGATCTTCCATCTTTTAGTTCAGCTTTCTTTCTTTTATTTCTCACCACAGCTGCTCCAAACCTTTTGTATCCTTCACAAGCTCCTGTGGCCTTCCCCCTAGTTCCCTAAGTAAATTGTCCTGCTTATTTTTCACACAGAAATTTAAGGTTCTCAGACATGTGTTCTTTCAGGTTTTTTTGCTCAGAATGTTTCCTTTTTCAGGGAAAGTAGTATCCCTCATCTTGCCTAATGAATCCCCTCATCTTTGCCCTAGATCCCACCCTCTCTTGATTCCTCAGGAACCTCATGCTCTGTTATGTCCCCTGGTTTCTTTTTTTTCCAACACACTGTTGTAGCTCCTTCTCCTAAACATATAAACATTTCTTCCATCAAAATCACTGTATTCCCATCTAGATTTTATCCTACCTGTCTTTCTTTTCCTTAATATCCAAGCTTCTAGAAAGAGTAGTCTAGGCTGGCTGAATTCACTTCTTCACTGCACAGTTTGGCTTCTGCCCCATCCATACTAGTGAAACTGTTTTAAGTCCACTGGTGATCTCATTTAGTCCCCTCTCCAGTGGTCACTTTTTTTTTTTGCGATAAGTGGGCCTTTCATTGTTCTGGCCTCTCCTGTTGCAGAGCACAGGCTCCGGACACGCAGGCTCAACGGTGGCTCACGAGCCTAGCCGCTCCGCGGCATGTGGGATCTTCCCAGACCGGGGCACGAACCCGTGTCCCCTGCATCGGCAGGCGGACTCTCAACCACTGCGCCACCAGGGAAGCCCTCCAGTGGTCACTTTTCAGTCTTCATTGCTGTATGACCTCGCTAAGGCATTTGACAATGTTGACCATTTCTTCTTTCCTAAAATGTTTTTCTCCCTTGATTCCGTGACCCTGCTTTCTCTAGATTCTCCTCTCACCTACCTGGCTGTTCTTTCTAATCCTCTTCTGATTCCTCTTTTCTCCTGCTCTCACATGTTGGGTGTCCTCAGAGTTTTGTTCTTTGTCTTTTGTTCATTTTACATACTCTCTCTGTACAGTCTTTTTTTAAAAATTTTATTTATTTTTTGGCTGTGTTGGGTCTTCGTTGCTGTGCACTGGCTTTCTCTAGTTGCAGCAACCGGGGGCTACTCTTTGTTGTGGTACACAGGCTTCTCATTGCGGTGGCTTCTCTTTGCTGCAGAGCACGGGCTCTAGGCATGTGAGCTTCAGTAGTTGTGGCACGTGGGCTCAGTAGTTGTGGCTCGCGGGCTCCAGAGGGCAGGCTCAGTAGTTGTGGCGCACGGGCTTAGTTGCTCCATGGCATGTGGGATCTTCCCGGACCAGGGCTCGAACCCATGTCCCCTGCATTGGCAGGCGGATTCCCAACCACTGCACCACCAGGGAAGTCCTCTCTGTACAGTCTTGTTCATGCTTATCACTTATTCTACCACCTGTAGGTTTCCACTGCCCCTCTAAAATCCATATCTGCAGCCAAGGCCAGTTTCCCGAGTTTCCTGTTGGTCTATCCATCTGACCAAAAACGTGCTATACATACCTAAGTGTGCCAGCATCCCCCCCACCCATCTGTGCTTGAGTAATTTTTCTAACACGCAAACCTGAGTATATCACTTTCTGACTAATACCTTTTATTGCAGTGGTTTATAACCTATTTTTGAATCATGAACCTTTGGAGGAAGGTGGTAAAAGCTATGCCCACCACTCAGAAAACTTCTGTTTTGGACGTTTGTATGTATCCAAAAGCCCCTCCATGGAAATCTGTTAAGGACCCTGGCTTTACAGGCTCTCCATCTCCGACAGAACAGAGTCCAGTCTCTGTGGATTTTGTTCAAGATCTGTTCCCCATGATACATCTCCTGCCTGTCTGCACCACCCATCTTGTCTTTTACCACTGTCACCCACGTACACTGTGTTTTGTCCATATGGAACTACTTAGAGTTTCTCCTTACATCGTGTCGTTTCATGCTCATTAGATCACCTCATTTGCTATTTTCTCATCTTTGAAGACCTAGCTCACATCTCTCTTTAGTGAAGCCTTCACTGACTGACATACATAGGCAGAGATATTTGCTCTTCTTTTTTAGTCATAACTGTACTTAATCTCTAGATGTGCTAGGCACACTGCATGAGAATTCTTTATTTGCCTGCCTGTTTCTACTAAACTGTGATTTCTTTATTATCTGTCTGTGAACTCACAGTATCAAGCACACTGACACACAGTAATTTCATTCACCTGACAGGTTTTATTAAGCACTGTTCAAGACACTAAAGAATCAGCAGTGAGCAGAATAGACGAAGTCCCTATGTCATGGAGTTTACATTCCTGGTGGGAGAACACAAGACAGTGAGGAAATAAATAAGCAAATATAGTCTGTCTGATGGAGATAGTGCTGTGAAGAAAATGAAGAAGGGCAAGAGATATAAGGAATGCTGGGAGTAGCAGGTCCTGTTGATATAGGCTGGTCAGGGTAGGCCTCATTGAGAAGATGGTGTTTGAGCAGAAACCTGAGGAGGGGGAGGGAAAAAGTTATGTGAATATCTGTGATGAGAGCATTCCAGGAAGGAGGAATGTTAAGTACAAAAGCCTTGAGTCAGGAGTGTGCTTGACTAGTTTAAGGAACAAAGTGGCCAGAACAGAGTAAATGAATGGGAAGGAGGTAAGGGATGAGGTAAGGACATTGAAAGGACTTTGGTTTTTACCCTGAGATGGAAAGCCGTTGGAGAGTTTTGAGCATAGGAATGACAGAATCTGACTTAATGTTTAAAAAGTATTATTTGGGCTGCTCTGGGAAAAATACACTGTTGCAGGGGGTAGGGGGAAGGGCAGAAGCAGGGAGATAAGTTAGTGGGCTATTGCCATAATCCAGGTGAAAGATAATGGTGGCTTGGACCAGTGTAATAACAGTAGAGGCTGTTAAGAAGTGGTCAAATTCTGGACATATCTTTTTTTTTTTTTTGGCTGCGTGACATGTCTTGTGGGATTTTAGTCCCTGACCAGGAATCGAACCCGTGCTCCCTGCAACAGAAGCTTGGAGTCCTAACCACTGGACCGCCAGGGAATTCCCCTGGATGTGAGCTGGCTGACAGATCTCACAGATTGGAAATGGGGAATTAGGCCAAAGTTTGTGGCCTAAGCAATTTAGAAGGATGGAGTTACCATTTAAACAAGATGGAGAAGATCACAGGAGGGGCAATATTGAGGAAAAGTGATCAAGAGATCAGTTTTTGATATGTTAAGTTTGAGTGCCTGTTAGGTATTCAAGTGGAGATGTCGTATAAATGGAACTATCAAGGAGGCAGGTGGCTGCACAAGTCTGGAGTTCCAAGGAAACAAACTGTGTTGGAGATGTAGACTTGGGAGTCATCCACTTATAGATCTGTGCTGGCCAATATGGTAGCCACTTAGTTACGTGTGACTATTTAAATTTAAATTAATTAAAATTTAATTTAATTTAAAATTCAGCCCTTCAGCCATACTAGTCACATTTCAGTGCTCAATAGCCGCATGTTGTTAGTGGCTACTGTATTAAACAGAGCAGATGTACAACATTTCCATCATAACAGAAAGTTCTGTTGGACAGCGCTGATATAGATGGTATTTAAAGCCATGAGACTGGATAAAATCATCAAGGAGTTGGGAATTCCCTTGTGGTCCAGTGGTTAGGGCTTGGCGCTTTCACTGCCATGGGCCTGGGTTCCATCCCTGGTCGAGGAACTAAGCTACCACAAGCCGCGAGGTGCGGCCAAAAGAAAAAAAAATCATCAAGGAGTGAGAGTAGATAGAGGGGGAATGAGATTAAACCTGAAGAGGTTTAAGGACTGAGCCCTGCAACACTACAAATTAAGAGGTCAGGGAGATGAGGAAGGATCAGCAAAGAAGACAGAAGAAGTGGTGAGTGAGGAGGTAGCTCATAAGAATGTGGTGATCTAGAAGCCAAATGAAGAAAGTATTTCAAGGCGGGAATGATCAACTGTGTTAAAATGCTACTAATAGGGTAAGTAAGATGAGGATGAAGAATTACCCATTAGATTTATTAAAGATCACTGGTGTACTGTATGAACAATTCTTTGGAGTAACAGAGACAAAAGCTGTATTTGAGTGGGTTCACAAGAGAATGGGAAGGTATGAATTGGAGGGCAGCCAATAGAGACAACACTTTTGAAAAGTTTTGCTATGAACAGAATCAGAGAAATGGGGTAGTAGCTAGAGAGGTAAATGAGATCAAGAGAAGATTGTTTCATTTTCTTTTTTAAAGATAGGACTATGTACAGCAGAAGTCGAAAATATGATTATGCAGGAGAGAGAGGGGAGAATTGTTGGAGAGACGTTCTAAAATAGGCGAAGGGGGACTTCCCTGGTGGGCCAGTGGTTAAGACTCCGCACTCCCGATGCAGGGGGCCTGGGCTCGATCCCTGGTCAGGGAACTAGATCCCACATGCTGCAACTAAGAGCCCTCATGCCACAACTAAAGATCCTGCATGCTGCAACTAAAGATTCTGTGTGCTGCAACGAAGATCCTGTGTGCTGCAACTAAGACCCGGCACAGCCGAATAAATAAATATAAAATAGGCAAAGGAGGGGGATCTAGTATGCAAGTGGAGAAGTTGCCCTTAAATAGGAGTAGGGGCCATTTATAATAACAGAAGAGAGGCTAGATCAGTATGTACACAGGCACAGGCAGTTGGGTAGATGTGGCAATAAGAGCTTGTGGAAGTTCTCTTCTGATTGCTTTTATTTTCTTCCTGAAGTAAGAAGCAGAGTCATCATCTGGTATGAGAATAGGAGAAGAGAAGGTATAAAGTAGCCATCTAGAAGGAATGGAGAATGAATGGACTAGGGAAATGTAGTAGAATAGCCAGGCATCACTAAGGGCCCGCTTAAAGTTAGTGGTCACACATTTAAAATGAGACATCAGTATGGTTGTGTGTTCTTGTCCAACACTGATGGTTGTACTGACGCACAATAAATATTTTTAATTTAATTCAGTTGCTATGGAAGATCATAAGGAAGTGTCACATGGAAAGCGTCACCAAGAAAGTAACGTTTGAACTGGCTCTTAAAGAATATATATGATGCAGTTTGGTATTTGAAGAGGGGGGGATGAGGACCTCCAGGTGGTCCTCACTCCTCATGTGCAAAGGCCCAGAGACATGGAAGAGCACAGTATGTTCCTTGAACACTTGGAAATTACTGTTGTAGGCTGTTTTCTACCAAAAAACCAACGTAGTGACTGTGCAAGATTAGAGAGGAAGACTGTCCCTAAAGGGTTGTTATAAATATTAAACAAGTTCACTAAATGTCATTTCTGTACTTTCTTCAGATGCTCAGCAGTACAAAGTTCTTATTGGTAACCGGGAGTGGATGATTAGAAATGGTCTTGTCATTAATAACGATGTAAACGATTCCATGACTGAACATGAGAGAAAAGGTCGGACTGCTGTATTGGTAGCAGTTGATGGTAAGGTTTTCCTTAAGTACACTATGACTCAGTGTCATGATTTCACTTGTTTTCTGTGTATTTTTGAGAGACATCTGAACTATGAGGGTTATTCAAAAGCAGCCTGAATGCAAAGTAAAAATGTCAGCAATACATAATTGTTACTGATTAATTTAAAATTCTCTTGCATTTGCCTGGCTTTGTTATTTTCCTCCATAGCCTGTGGTTTTAAAAAAAGCTAATCAAGGATTTTTTTTAAAACCTAAAAATAACATTATAGCAAAGTAAAAGAATATTCATAATCTCATCATCTAAACACAATGTCAGTTTTAATTGACATTTCTGGATATATATTCATACACATCACACAGAATTACAATATTAGTACATATACTGTTTATAAATGGGTGCATTTTATTGTATGTAAATTTTACCTCAAAGTTGAATAAAAATTTAAAATTCCTTGTACACATACTGTTTTATTTTGTCTTATTTTATTTAATAGTAAATATTTCCAATTGTATTTTAATGTGGCACCATTTGTCATACTTATACACTATGACTAACTTAATCATTCCCCTGTTGGAAATTTAAGCTACTCCTAATATTTTATTGTTGTAAGTAACACCACAGTAAACATCTTTGAGGTTTTAGGTATTTTGTTAAATTATTTCTTAGGGTACATTTCTAGCTGTGAGATTAATTAGTCAACATTTATAATCCTTGCTAAGTATGAAGGCATTATCTTACTATGGCCTTTTTAGGCCCAGGAAGAAGCAGAAAATACCATTTATTTTTGTTTTTAAAATAGCTACTTGTAGTGATTTTTTCCCAGTATAAAATGCCAGTTTTGTTTCCATCCACCCCTTCACCTTAAAAAGGGTGAAGTATGAATTTTCAGTTTCATTTGCCTTTAAATTAGCTAAAGTGGGGCTATTGGCCAATACTTCTCTAAAGAAAGAAAATAAGTATTTTAGTATCCAGTAAAGTCTCTTCAGTTTCCTATCATTACCTTCATTAGTAAGCCCTACCTCACTCTGAAATTTTCACAACCAAGTATGGAGGCTTGTTGCAGGGTTTGTGGTATAAAGTCTATGTGGTCTTGGAGATATTTTGAGTTAAGCCAAGTCCTGAACAACTTCACTTAACAAAATTCATTTCTTTCTGAAATTTTAAGTCAGAATATTATTCTGCTTTCACCATATTCCAAATTCTATCTTCTGGTGCTCCTATATTAGATGAGCTGTGCGGCTTGATAGCTATCGCTGATACAGTGAAGCCTGAAGCAGAATTGGCAGTCCATATTCTGAAATCTATGGGCTTAGAAGTAGTTCTGATGACTGGAGACAACAGTAAAACAGCTAGATCTATTGCTTCTCAGGTAATGGGTTTACTTAGTTGTTGGGGTGGGAGTATGTGGTAACTTCTCATTCTTCACATACGTTTCCTTTCTTGCCTTCAGCTGCTAAAGAAGTATCATTATCCCCGAGTAGCCATATCTGGTTCCTTAAAGAAAAATTGGCATACTATGCAGGAAGGACTTTGGGTTTTGTCTGGAACTGTTATAAGTAAAAAGCTATTTGCTTAGTTCATGGGATGCTTGAGTGACATTGTACACAGTTTCTGTTGATGCTTCCTTTGAAATGTTGCTGATAGTCTCCACCGGTGCTGCCAGCCTAAGCCAGGCTCTCATCCTCTCATGCCTAAAGTACAGCAGTAGCTCCACGCACGTTCCTCTCTAGTCCATCCTGGATACCACTGATAGAACCATCTTCCATAGCATTCTTCTGCTACTCACCCCCACATTTGCCTTCCCTCTAAAACTTTTCTCATATTAGTCTTTTCTATTTTGCAATGCCTTCTCCCCTCTTCTATTAAATAATAAAGATAATATATAAATACATTCTTGTATAAAAAATACAGAAGGCTGTAAAGAAGAACGTTTAAGTCACCATTTTCCCAAGCCTCCCTGTCCAGCCCTACCCCCTTACACTTTTTCATATGCTTATATGTTCATATACAGATGTATAGTTCTGGTACTTTGAACATAAATTGGATCATTTTTGTACAACTTGTTCAGCAGTTTGCTTTCTTTCAGATAGCAATATATATGCCTTGGAGCTTTGTCCATGTCTGAACATATAAACTTATTTCGTTCTTTCTACATCATTGCATTGAATTCCATAGTACAGATGCGTCACAATGTACTTAACCATTCCTCTAATAAAAAAAATAATTTATGTGGTTTTGAAAATTTTGTTTTACAAATAAGGCAGTAATATACATCCTTGGACATACTTATTTTTATACATGTACAGGTATGTCCAAAATATAGCTAGGGGTGGAATTGCTGAACCAAATGACATGCACACTTTGATAGATGCTGCCAAATACCCTCCAAAAAGACAGTACCAACTTACACACCCACCAACAGTATATAAGAGAGCTCATTTCCCCATATCCTTACTATCCCTGGATATTATTAGTCTCTTACAATTTGGACATTTGGTAGGTGGAAACTGATGGCTCATCATTGCTGAGTTATATTTCAGGTACTCAGTAATATTTCTTGAAATGAATGGAGTTTATTTTTGCCCATGTAGGTTGGCATTACTAAGGTGTTTGCTGAAGTTCTACCTTCCCACAAGGTTGCTAAGGTGAAGCAACTCCAAGAGGAGGGGAACCGGGTAGCAATGGTAGGAGATGGAATCAATGACTCCCCAGCTCTGGCGATGGCTAATGTTGGAATTGCCATTGGCACAGGCACAGATGTAGCCATTGAAGCAGCCGATGTGGTTTTGATACGGGTAAGTCCTATGGTCTGACCTTTGAGGAGTGTGAGACTGCTCTACACGGTCAGGGATAGTGTCGTATATTGAACAAAATGATTGTGCCCTTCGAATTCCCATGCTCCTAGCCATTGAGACTGGGAGAGTTCAAGATGGAAGTATGAGAAGTCTTAGTAATTACTTCCAGACTTTCTCATTTCAGCGAAGCAAATGAGAATGACAAGCTTCTAAAGTGAAGCATTAGATTTGGGAATATACATATGATACTCTTATCTTCAACAAATACTTGCTGAGGTTATTTTAGTGGGATTTAGTCCCTGTACCAGCATACAACCCTAAAAGTATTTTCAGAACCCTGAGAAAAATTCCTGAAAACCCCCTTCCAAGACAGCCTCAAATTTTTAGCAATATCTCAGATTTGTAGTTAATTCACATATTACCGTAAGGTACACATCATCTTTGGTATACACAGTATCAAATACAAGTTACTGGTCAAGTTACAGTCTCTTGCTAATATCACAAATATTTCTGTTCTCAGAATGATCTTCTGGATGTAGTGGCAAGTATTGATTTATCAAGGAAGACAGTCAAGAGGATTCGGATAAATTTTGTCTTTGCTCTAATTTATAATCTGATTGGAATTCCCATAGCTGCTGGTATGTGACAGTTAACTTGTATTGCTTTTTTCATGAAGTCGTTAGAAGCCTACCGTATTGGAAGTTTTAGTCTTCTTATTATTAGTTTTGAGCTCAGTTTTGTATGTAGCCTGCTGGTATGGTGAGAGGTAATATTAAAATCAATAATTTAAATTTTCAGCATGTTCATTATGGCCTAGAATGTATAAGCCTTCTGATAGGTTTATTTTATTTTTACCTTATTTTTACCTTCAACTTTGTATTTTGAAATTTTCAAATGTACATAAACAAGGAGAAAAATGATACAATAAAACAAAATACCCTTCACCGAAATTCACCAGTTAATAATATTTTGCCACATTGCTTCATCTTTTTCTCCATACACTCTCACACACATACGTACTTATTTGCTTACTCATTTAGTTTTTGCTGAAGAGAATAAATTTAGCTTTAATCTCACTACCCGAATACAACTACTGTTGGTATTTTAGTATACATCTTTCTGGTCTTTTTTACTCTGTATTGGTTTTTGTCTTGTTTCATTGTTGTAATTATAGCATGCAGAGAATTTTCTTAATGTTCTAATAGCCAACAGTTTTTTTTAAAGTTTGGGAACCAGATGTGAGAAAGACAGAGAGAGAAATTGAACAAAGGAATACGACCAAGAAAAGGCAGTTTAGAATTATTTAATAAGCATCCGATCATCCCCATTACTTAGGGGCTTGGTAGATGTTAGTATTAGTAATAACATAAGAAAAATAGTTATCACTTTCTTCTTGTTCTCTCTGGTTTTAGAGCCAAAGAAGGACATGAGATAACATGAGAACAATTACAAAACTGTTTATCAACAGGGACACACAGATGGAGAGGACAAAGAGTAAAAGAACAAAGTCCAGAGAGATTAATTCATGGAGCAAGTTATTTTTTAAAAATTATACAAGTAATATACGGTCACTGTATAAAAAGTAGAAAAAATACAGATAAGCACATAAAAATTACAAGTACAGTAAGTCTATCTCATCCCCATCATATGAACAAATTTTAAAATGTCTGTGAAAACCAAGTGTGGATGAGTTTGTAGAATATGAACTCTCATACACTATTGGAGGGTTTGTGATCTGGTACAGCCACTTTGGAGAGCAACTGAGAAATATCTACCTAAAGTTGAAGGTGTGCCTATGTTATAATCTAGCTGTTTCACCTCTAGGTATATACCCTAGGGAAATTCTCAAACACATGCACAGGGCGGCATGTACAAGAATGTTCACAGCAACACTCTATTAGTGAAAAATTGGCAACGACATAAATCTCTACCAACAGGAGGATAAATTGCTGAATAAATATCAAAGAAGGAAATTATTTGTATATATGTATTAGGAACACAGTGGTAATCTGTTTAGTACTGTTTGGTCTAACTAATCCAAAATTGTTTTCTAGGAGTTTTTATGCCCATTGGTTTGGTTTTGCAGCCCTGGATGGGATCTGCTGCAATGGCTGCTTCATCTGTTTCAGTAGTACTTTCTTCACTCCTCCTTAAACTGTAAGTATGATAGCTCGCTCATGCTTCTCTTTTATATTCCTTTTATCACCCACAGTCAGTCTTGCTAGGTTTTATTCTTGTATTGGTCAATGATAAGCCCAAACTGTTCTTAATAATAAATGTTAACTACGTAATTATCACCTTATGTAGTATATACAGAGCAACCACAAGCACTGAGTGGGGTAAAATCTAGTACACTGGCTCTCAGAAGTAGGATTTCTGATCATGTGACCTCACACAACTCCTTTTGACCACCTTTATACATTTCAAACCAGGTTAATCTCTTTTCATTTTTGAATGTAACAAGCGGATAGTTCACATTTGATTATTTCAAACTAGTATACTTTTGCATCTTTTCAGTTACAGGAAACCAACTTATGAGAATTATGAACTACATGCCCGAGGCCAGATGGGACAGAAAAGTCCTTCAGAAATAAGTGTTCATGTTGGAATAGATGATACCTCAAGAAATTCTCCCAAACTGGGTTTGCTGGACCGGATTGTTAATTACAGCAGAGCCTCCATAAACTCACTGCTGTCTGATAAACGATCACTGAACAGTGTTGGTACTAGTGAACCTGACAAGCACTCACTCCTGGTGGGAGACTGCAGGGAAGATGACGACAGTGCGTTGTAACAGGCCACAGAGAGTGCTGCTAGATGATGTTGTTCTGCACTGACACAGCATTCATGGTCACCTTAGCTTTTTAAAATATTGCAGGGCTTTATGTTGGTCTCATGCTCTTATGTTAGGGAATCTATTTGAATTGCATTTGTCTAATGGCAAAAATATCTTTTTCAGGGCATCAGCTTGGAACCTAGCTTTATTGAAAATGAATTTCCAGTATTTTTTGTTTTCACTAGCAACAGATAAGGTAGACCAGGGAGGTTTACAAGTCCTACAGCTGAAGATTGCTGAATTGCTGCTAAGGTCATAGATAATTTTTATTTGACCCAAAAAAAAAAAGTTCAAGAAAAGATCATTGAAAATTTGAAGATTTGAGCGCATAATCTTGAGGAGATTCTCGAGCCCTCCTCCCTGCCAGATTGGGGAGCAACAGCTTTCAAAGCACTGTATAAAGAATCCTGTTTTAGAAGCAAAATAGTAGAAACTGTTTAAAAATAGACAGGCCTATTTATTACAGGCTTTCTTTCCCCCTTCTTCTCCCTGCATCTTTGTCTTTGCCGTTGCTTTCTTTTTTTTTTTTTTTTTTACAGCTTTATTGGAGTATAATTGCTTTACAATGGTGTGTTAGTTTCTGCTTTATAACAAAGTGAATCAGTTATACATATACATATGTTCCCATATCTCTTCCCTCTTGCGTCTCCCTCCCTCCCACCCTCCCTATCCCACCCCTCTAGGTGGTCACAAAGCCGTCGCTTTCTTAGATGCCCCAATGTGTTTTCTTTTATTATGTTCTTTCAAGTGAGCTAAGTGTAGGTGATTTCTCATCGACAAAAATAACTGACAACTTTTCCAGTAACTTGTTTGTTTCTTTATCTTGTAGCTCAAAAGACCTTCAGGACCTATATGGTTTCCTGCTTCCCACCTTTCCATTGTTGTAAAAAATACATCAGATTCCTCCTTCAGTGACTCCCTAGCTATGTGCATGCTTTCAGTTCGCTCCTGCTGGGTTCAGCTATAAGTTGTTCTTAGTATCATCTATCATCCTCAGTTCAGAAACTTAAGATTTTGAGCCACTTCTACAATTGATTTTTTTCCAAAGATTGACACTACCATGTTTAACATGTACCGGTCATATAAAATTACCTGGATTCACTAAATTTGTCCTTTTCTGGAGAGAATGCAAGACCTTAGCTGATATTTATAATTTAATAGATTTTAATTGTCTTTTATTGTTTTAGATAATCTCTCAAAATGACTTTAAAATAATGCTATTACACAAAGCCCCTTTTACCAAGAAATACAGTAAATCGTAATACAGAAATGAGAATTTCCCTAGGTTGTGATACCTTTTAGCTAAATCTATATTTTTCTCTAGTTTAAAACATTTGCACTTGCTAGTTAGTGTGGTTGGCATATTCACGGGCTTGTTCTCATCAACATATAAATTTAGAAATCCCCCTGTGAGTGCCTGGGAGTTAATACACTGGTCAGAGATCTGGTACTTGTATCACTATTTAAATTAACTTGTTAACTGCAAGGTGGATTTCAGATGCAGAATATGTAAGTGAAGAAAACTCATACATAAATTCCTAACATCTATTCCCATTGTCATATGTAAAGCTGCTAGCACAATTCCTAGCACATAGGATTTGTGCTCAGTAAATGTTAGTTCTTATTTCCCCTTGAGGTCAGTGATAAATATCAAAAATCGCTTTTACAGAGCAGAGTCTAAAATCAGGCGGGAGTGGCGGATGGGGTTCTTCCCTCCTTTCCAACTTCCTTTTTCTCTTGTTCTTTCATACGCACTCAAAAAAGTTTACAACATAATTCCATGCTGACTTTTCAGATTTGGAAGAGATTTCATTTTTATCTCAGCTATCTTAAAGACAGAGCTGAAACTTGATGAAGGTGCTATTAATCTAGAAAAGCAAACCAATTTTAATGAAATATGAATGAGTTTGTAGGTCTAGGCTCTTTTTTAGACCAATGCCTGTGCCATCTTCTATGCTTTCAATTTGAATTTTAATATTTGTTTTTTATTTTAATTCCAGTGGCCCGTCATACCACAACTTGTTTCTTCTAGAAGAAATAGCTAGCACGGCAAAGGTATAATATAGACTTTTGAAAAAGAAACACTTTTCTCTGTGTCTCTCTCTCTCCCTCCCTCCCTTCCTCCCCCTCCCCCTTCCCCTCACTTTCACTCTTCTATCTCTCTGAAGCACTTGAACATAGCCAGTTACTACTTTTATTATTCTGTGTGTGTTAGAGTTGTCCACTTGGCCTCACATGCCAAGGGATCCACATGTCATAGGGCAATGAGAAGAGCAGCCTATATAATCTGGGAAAAATCAAGGATGTAATTTCAGCCCTTAGTACAGGAACAGAAAACATGCTGTTTATAAAGAATCCTGCTTTAAATATCTATAGCCATCTTTGAATTCTCTACCACAAGTCTCTTGCAATTCTGAACTCCCATTAGCTTCATAGAGCAGCTGTAGTCACCGGGAGAGAGACATATGGAGGGGATCAAAAACACTGCTTTCAGTTAGTAACTAGTGAGAACAAATTTTATAAATGTGTGTGTATGCATCTGTGTTTATTCATAGAATACATATATTACCCATATAGAAGGAAAATGGATTTATATTTGAATTTGATATTAGAATATTTGAAGTTCTTTATTTGTTGTTCCTTTGTCACTCTTTTGTTTTCACTCAGCAACCACGCCCTCAGTCTGAAGATAACAAGGATGTTTTAATATCCAGTGCTGGTTCAGACTCAACTAAGGGGCACCTTTTATCTTAAATATCCAAAGATGCCTTTTAAATTTCAACGGTTAAAACATAACTGTTTAGTGTTATAGTCTAAAGAAGTATGGTTGTCAGTTGTGAAAATAGAAATGTTATTTTTCATAGTTTAGTATCAACGTTTTAGGTGTTAGATTTGATGCCTTGTGAACAAATAATTTTATATTGTGCTTCATATTTTTAAAAGTTATTCTTTTATTGAATGTATTCTTTGTTCAAAATGCTTAAATAGCATTGTAGGCAAGATGTTTCCATACATTTAAGTGTGCATATCTTTTATGTACACAGCTGAAAATCAAGAATGTATGTTCATTGAGAATTTTTTCCACTACTTATGGATCTTGCTTTAAAATTATTTTTCTTAGTATTTATTTTACTCTATTTTATTATTTTCTTTGGCTGAGACATCTGGTTACTGGTTGTTTTAATAAGGTAAAAACATTCCTGGAATCACTCCTTTTGGATATTTTTGTTTCTTTTCTCTATTTTAAAAATATTATTTTACCAAATATAAAAAATGCAGATTCGTGCCAAATTATTAGCTATTTTTACACTAACTTTCTGTAGTCCTTCTGAAAGTTTATCTGGTATGAGTAACCAGATAAAGCACAAAAGCATGAATTCTTGTTCTTCAATTAAAAGAGCTTCTCTAATGGCACTGATAGTAAATGCCTTTTGTAGCCAAAACCAGGCGTCTCAAACTTATGCTTTTAGTTAAAGAAGTGTTTAACTAACCATTGTTGAACATTGATTGTTTGATACCCAAAACAGCAGTGGACGATGTTGTGCAATAATCATCTACTATAGTCAAGATATTCAGTAGTTTGTTTTTCCATAAGCATGTAATTGAACATATATCTGCCAAGGATGTGCCTTCAACTTTATAATTATAGTATTGTAAAAAAATGATTTTTTTTGTCAGCGTCTCTTTTGTTAAATCATCCAACTCCTCTACCAACAGTTCCAAACTATCCTGTGTTTTTAGGTGTTGTGTTCTGTTTTATTTTATTTTTTTTTAAATCAAGGGTGGGGCAGGATTGGAGGCAGCACCACACATTCACTAAGAGTGGGAGGGAAGAAATCTATTTTCCTTCAGACTTCACCTGCTGGATCTTTTAGTGCGGATGAGAAACAAAGGAATATAATTGTCCTCCTTTCCTTTATAGTCTATAATACGTTCTTTATAGATTGTCTACCCCAAATGAGCTAAATGGAGGCAAGAGCTTTTCTTGCCTTTGGGGAGCCATATACAGTGTGTATGAGGATCCCACCCAAAATGCATCCCCATACCCAAACACTGCTTCAAGTTAAGGAAAGGGTTTTAAACCTATTTGTAAGGAAAAATGAAGTTTTACTTCCCTCCCAAACTTTGGGATTATTCAGGGTATTGAAATAGGATTAGAAATGGAAATATAATAGTAAAATCACTGAGGTATCCACTTAGCTGGCCAGCCTCCCTTTCCTATTGGCGCCTTGACTAACCTCTGAGAAGGATGTACAGTGATGGTGACATCCCAGGTGAGGTTTCAAAACCTTCCAGACAAAAACTAAACAAAAAGCCAGAAACCTTCCAGTTGGGGAAGGCTTTAAAGGCCTTGCTAAGATTCAAATACAGATGAGAGAGGTGAGGCTGCCTCTTTCACAAATTTCACCTCAGGCCAGCCAGCCCTACTTGCTTAACAGTTTCATTTTCATAGATGTGACCACTAGTTGTGGAAATGAGTTATGAGTAAGGTATGAAAGGCAAGGCTCTTGAGGACAAGGTTTAAGTGAAATTGCTAGTATAAATAGGATCTCATGCAATTTAAGAAATCTGAAAACTTCCATGCAGGCAGTTCTCTCTGTGGAGAAGTTTGAAATAGGCTGAGTCGTCTTTGGCATATTGTACCTGTTGTCCTCGAATGGCCCCCGGCTTTTCATTGTCAGTGCCCTTCCCCCAGCCCCCAGGCCTGTCTGTAAACTGAAGTGCTGCCATTACTTCAACATTACTTGCTTCACCCTCACCCAATCAAAACTTCAATTTCTTCATTGCACTTATTATCACCACATAATAAAAAAAACTGAGATTAATCCATCCTAAAGTACCAGTGACCTTTAGATCTAGCCAGAAGTACTAGCAATTACTTGAAAAGATTATTTTTTAAATCCAAATAACTTTATAACTATTGAAATGAAAAACAACAGGCCATGTGGAAGGTTATTTGGTAGAGCCCAGGATCAGCCCTCCTAAGCTCTTCCTTCTTGCAGCTTTTTACCTTCCACTGTCGCATCCACCATTTCTTTAAAAGCACCACATCTCCGTAGTGATGGAAAGAGCAATGATTTTGGAGCCCACCAGACCTATCTGCAAAATTCCAGTTCTGCCACATACCAACTGGTGACTATATTAGTTTCCTATTGCTGCTGTAACAGATTACAACAAACTTCATATCCTTTTCTTAAATTTAATTTTTATTTTATATTGGAGTATAGTTGGTTTACAGTGTTGTATTAGTTTCAGGTGTACAGTAAAGTGATTCAGTTACACATATACATGTATCCATTCCTTTTAAGATTCTTTTCCATTGTAAGTTATTACAGAGTATTAAGTATATTTTTCTGTACTATACACTAGGGCCTTGTTGGTTATCTGTTTTATATGTAGTAATGTGTATATGTTAATCTCATATTCCTGATTTATCCCTCCCTGCCCTTTCCACTTTGGTAACCATAAATTGGTTTTCTATGTCTCCCCTGCCCTTTCCTCTTTGGTAACCAAAAATTGGTTTTCTATGT